GCGGGGAAAGGAGGTGGTGCAAGCGGTTCAGCCGAGCCCACAACAGCCAAAAATCTGTTGTCCCTGTCTGGGGGGGGGGGGGCGCTGTTCAACCCTAGCACATGGGCGAGAAGCCGTACATGTGTGACGAGAGCGGCAAGACGTTTTCTAGCGCTCGGCCTACCAGTATTTATATTTTTTTATTTTCCGCTTGTGTGTTAATCTGTGTTTACCCCGGATATTTTAGAGATGGCAATTTTCCTGCTGTGTATCCTACTGCTGTCCCTCCCGGCCATATCTAGTGCCACACTCAACTCTACAAACAGCTAGCCTCGTTACTTTGCGCCCATTAATTCACCAGCACTCCTTCCAAACTTCATTTTGCTCTTAAAAATAACACCATCTGCGAGCTACTGCTATTCGTCCAAGGTTCGCCACTCTTCATCCTTTCACAGAAAATACTTGTGCAAACTATTAATTCTACTTTTCTTATTTCTGGATGGTATTGAGCTTCATCCTGGCCCAAATGAAAATAACTCGTATCATTCTGTAGATTTTTCTGGCAGGAAAGGTGTTGGTGTTCTACATGTCAACATAAGAGGGCTTGTGATTAAATTAAGTCAACTAAAACTAGAAGTGGCAAATCTTGACCCGGACATTTATTGCCTAACAGAAACATTTCTCACTCCTGCCGTCAATGACTTGCAGATTGCGATTGACAACTACAACTTTTTTCGGCTTGACCGAGGATCTAAAGGAGGTGGAATAGCCATCTATGTTCATAATACTATTGCATGTTCACTAGCTCACTCCTTGTTTAAAAAATGTTGCTTTGAAGGTCTGGCTCTCAGAATAACTCTCCCAAAAAATCAACAGATATTGGTAGTGTGCTGCTATCGACCGCCTAGTGGGAAGGATGTTGAAGCTGCATCTGCACTGAGAGAGCTTTTTAGGGGCCTCCCTAAAGGTGAAATAGTTTTAGTGGGTGATCTAAATTGGAATTGGCTAAACCCGCCGGCCATGGCCACAAATTTTGCAGATGAATTTAATCTGTTTCAATTAATAAATGTCCCCACAAGACCCAACCTAAAAAATCCGGGACAGTCATCTCTGCTTGACGTCCTATTGACAAATGCCCCTCACAGTTTGACACTGACTGGTGTTCTGGGTAATAACCTTAGTGATCACTCCTTCATTTTTGGGGTGAGATCATCAGCCAGACCCAAAGCCCCCCCTAAATTGGTTAAGAAGCACTCTATGAGACACTTCAGCACTCAGGCATTTACTAATGATGTGCTTCACTCGGATATTGACAAGGTCTGTGATATCCTCAACCTGACTACGGCTTGGGAGACCAGGTACACGTTTCTCCAAATTCTTAACAAACATGCTCTATGGGTTAGATTTAAAACTAAAGGCAACCGCCCACCATGGTTTGATCCTATAATTACAAAGCTCATGAAAACTAGGGACACGGCTTGGCTATGTGCTCAGAAAAGGAATTTGGTCAATGACTGGCTAGAATACAGGATTTTAAGGAATATATGCGTAAAAAAAATACGACATGCAAAAAATGCTTACTTTTCCTCCACTCTCCTGGAATCAAATGGAAATACCAGGATTTTCTGGAAAACAATCAAATGTATCGAAAAGGCATCCAAAACAGACAATCTGCCCATTGAGCTTAACCGAAATGGGGAATATTTTTCAGATCCCAAAAAAATAGTTAATAATTTTAACCTTCATTTTTCTGAAGCTGGTAATCTTTTTGATAATGTATTGGGAGTCACCCCTGCTCATGCAAATTCATACACCCCTGTCTAAACATTAAACAAATTTAGTTTCCAGCCAATCCACGAAAGTAATATTCTGAAACAACTGTCCTACCTCAAAGGGCCCTCCTCTACCGGAGCAGATAGTATTCCCATCTTTGCTCTACAAACTGTTGGTCACCTCATATACAAACCTATAGCCCATATTTTCAACCTGTCCATCAAAGAAGCATCAGTTCCTCTAGAATGGAAACATTCCTATGTCCATCCAATTCACAAAGGAGGCCCAAAAGATGATCCAAATAACTACCGACCTATCTCAATTTTGTCCCCGTTAATAAAAAATTGAAAAATTATTGACCTACCAAATTAGCAGTTTCCTGTCCACCAACAATCTACTACATCTAAAACACTCTGGGTTCTGAAAAAAATACAGCACCACATCTGCTGCATTACACTCTCTGAATCACATTTACAGTAGCCTTGATAATAAGCAGTAATGTGCCTGTCTTTTTCTAGACCTGTCCAAAGCTTTTGATACAGTAGACCACAACACCCTGCTTAGTAAACTAAGTTGCCTCGGTTTTTTCCGAAAACGCAGTAAAATGGTTACAAAATTACCTCTTTTCTCGCACCCAAACTGTTGTCACAGATGTTTGGAGGTCAAACAGTGTTAAGATAACAAAAGGGGTTCCACAGGGTTCCATCCTCGGCCCCCGTTTGTTCTCTCTTTATGTCAATGACTTTGGCACTGACCTGGATCCTTCCAGGATAAATCTTTTTGCAGATGACACGATACTGATTACTGCTGGCCGCTCTCCGGATGACGTGATTGCTAAGCTACAGGGTGATTTCAACAAACTACAACATTAGCTAGTTGCTTTTAAACTAGTCCTGAATACCTCCAAAACCAAGGTGCTATGATTCTCACCAGGACTAAAGCAGGAAGTTATTTTTCCCCAATTACATTCCTTAAATAATTATCAAATAAAGCAAGTCAAGATCTATAAGTATCTTGGGGTCATCCTGGATTCAATACTGAATTTTGAAGATCACATTGATTATATTGGTAAAAAGACAAAAATAAAAATTGGTTTTCTGTATCGACACAAGCACTGCTTCCCCCCAATGTTCCGTTTGGAATTGATAAAAGCTACCATACTGACTCTACTTGACTACTATGACATCGTTTATAAATCAGCCCCAAGTACTGTCCTGAAGAAGCTTGATTACATCTATCACTCGTCCTTAAGATTTACATTGAACTGCCCATATAGGACTCACCACTGTGATCTCTACATTGGGTCAAACTTAACATCTTTTAATGTTCGACGGCTTGTGCACCAGATCTTATTTATTCACGATGTACTTACAAAAAAATCTGCAGACTACCTGCTGGATCTCCTCTCTGTTTCAAAGAACAAATTTGACCTCAGGTCTTCGCTCATTTACCAGCTTCACATTCCCTATTGCCATACAAATCTGGAGGAAGGGCCTTTGCTATTGATGCCCCCAGGGTCTGGAATGCTATTGCCAATAAACTGCAACTTGAATCGCTACCAATGAGATCTTCTCTCAAAACTGCTCTAGAGGAGTTGTACACCACTAGCTGCCACTGCTATTCATTGCGTAAAATAAAATAAAATGTTTCGCTCCGGATGATGCAGCAAAGTATTATCTGTATTTTGATTTAGCGTGCTGATCTTAAAGGTGCATTGAAAAAAATGATACTCCGACTGATGCTTCTGTTGTTGTGGAGTAACTCATGCAGCCAGCTATGGCTCTAGGATTTGGTGTTACATGTTATTTATGTAGTTTATTGTAAAAATCACTGTTACGTTGCAATTATGGCTTTATTTTTTGGTGATTTCGATAACGTTTTTTGGTTTGGACATGTTTGTTTTGTTGTAGTACGGAGTTAGACTGATGGCCTTAATCTTAGTTTTCTTGTGGTTGTTGTTGTTGTTGTTTGACTTGCATCCCACTGGGATTTTTTGCACACAGCGTTGGTGTACGGTGCTTTTTTCAGGAATATTTTGCCGTTTTTTTCATGGATTTTCTGTTTGCACAGTCACATAGTCACTTTAAGATGTTTTTCTTGTTCGTGTTTTTGTTTTTTGTTTGTTGTGGTTGCACCCGATTCAAGAGCCGAATGGCTCACAGGGCTATACCAAAATAAAGAAACTGAGCTACAACGGACCGGACCCCGGCTTGGGTCCAGGTCCACGTGTTGGTTTCCTCTTCTCGGACGTAGAACGTAGATCTTCAGGATGACAACAGCAGCGCTGAACCCCGGTTCCTCTGGGGACCCGGTTTATATCCTCACTGGTCGTGGCTGGCTCCGCCCTTGGCCACGACCACCTTCTCGAACCCTCTAGCAGGATCTCGCCCCCGACACGTGACCACCCCTAGCCCCCACTTGGGGTCCCTGTGTAGACTTTACCCGTCGCGTGCATTCCAGGGTCAACCGGAGTGCCATGGCCTACATGAACCCCATTCATGGCCGGCACCCTCACACCCTCTCCTATAGGGGACAGCACTGCACGCCGAGCATGGTGCCACTCGGTGCTCTCTATCAGCGCTCACCGAGCCCCTCTAGGGCTGGTACTACACCCACATGTACGGGGTGTCTGCTGTGGCAATACATCGCATGCCGTGCCTCGCTAGAGCCGGCATTACCCAGTGACACCCACGATGTCGCTACACACGTAATGTCTGCGATGTCAGTACATCGCACGCCGTGCCTCTCTAGGACCGGCACCGGCACAGTGACGTCCGCGATGTCACTACAAATGCATCAATAAAAAAAGAACCCGAGCAAAAAAAAGTTAAGATGATGCGAGCGAAGTCAACACAACGGGAACTAAAAATAAAGGCCGAAGCGTGGCCGTACTAATTATATACACAGACAACGATGTCCAGCATCACGGCACAACAGGTCTAGTCGAACCAGGCCTGTACAGCCCTTTTGAATGTTGGCCTTCCCCTTCGCCGCTCACTGGGGTTGTTTGACCATACTTCACCACGCTGGTCAATGCGATTTATGCTTTGGGGGTGGAGGGAGGGTGTGATTTAGTGAGCAGGATTCGTTCAGATGTCACTTGCTACTGATGTTCGGCGGTGGCCCCGGAATTGAATTCAAGCCGCACGGGTGTATGTCAACAGCGTGCGCTAACCGCTGCGCCACAACTCCAACCCTGAGCCGACACTGCGCGCGTTGTTTTAATTTATTTTCTTCTCGCTTGGCAGGTGGACCGAGGACATGTCCAAGGCAACACATCCTGCTTGTAAAAGCTGCCCTCATCTTAGCCGCCCAATATTTTGTAATACATGCAAAGTAGCACAACACTTCACTGTGTGAGACTTAGAAAGTCGACAGGTTTTTTTTTGCGTGAAATCATTTTTCTATTCACGTGATGGAGGAAGAAGCAGTTGAGCAAATACGTTCCACCATAGTAGTAAGAGACACAATATATATTCTTGTTTTAGCATGGGGCGAATGCACTCACAACAAAGCTCTTAATCAGCTTCCCATGACGTGGAATCGACTGCCATGGACAAGAAACCATCAGTCACGCTTAATTTTATATATTGTAATTAAACTGTCAATTTAAATTAATGAGCCAAGGGCGCAAATCTATGACCACCAATGTTAAGGTGGTCGTAAACATATATAAAATAAAATACTGTGTATATATATAGAGTTTAACTTATTCTGGAATGACAGGGGCATTTATTAATAGAAATGTTCACAAAAACGGGAGATTTTGGCGCTGAAATATAAAAAAAAGATTGTAGTTGATTCTTTCCCCTCTCGTATGAAATAAATTACATTCAGCCAAAATCCATGGTTTATTTCGCAATGTTTTTTTCTAAATTATATTTAAACACGCGCACACACAGACACACATATATATGTGTACATATTTACTGCGTAAACACGAATTTCTACGTCATAAACGCACGCACACGTATGCGTACGCACATGTGTATCTTTGTACACGTTACCATGGTGGCCCACACACACCGATCCACCCTCGTGAGTTCCGCACAATCTGCCAAACTTAATGCAGTCTCTCTCCCCCTTGTGGGCCAAAATAAACGTCCCAATTTGAATACACTTGGCCGCTCGTCTGATCGTAACAGTGAGCAGTTTGCGCATGCGGGTACATGCCCATTGGATCGCAGCCAAAGGTTCAATTACAAACGCTCCGGCCGGTTCGTGCAATGAATCAAGGCGGAAGAGCGTGCGTGTAAAGGGATGAACAGCCGGTCTGTCGAACAGCTGACAAGCAAAGAGGATGCATCGCGGGGCGAATCTTAGCCTGGAAGAACTCAAAATCGCAGCACAATTTAAGTTGATTAAAAGTGTAAAGTTTATATACGGCCGTATCTTGATGAACTTGATTTCACCAAATGTGAACACATCTTTACAATGTGACATCCACCATATCTCGGACACTGACTCATGCGACGTATCTCAAATAAACTTTATGTTGTCTGTAAGCAAACCTACGCGAGGTGTATGTGTTTTTGTTTTTGCGCGTTTTTTTTCTCTCCGTCCGAGGCAACGCGTCCTTCCTCCAGAACGTCACGTTCCCTGAGTTTTAAATTCCGCAGTGTCGACAGCGCAACTGTGGTCACGACATGAACACGGCCTCGCCGGGGCATTCAGGGGTTAGTCATGAAACAAATGCCCTCGTGATTTGAAGCTTTCGTGACTTGCAGGAATTGATTTTTGGTTCTTTCGGTAAAGTCACCGCAGAAAGAAAATAAATGCAATAATAGAATACGTTTCGATTGCAAACACGAGCATCCGCCATCGGGTAAGAATGAATGAGAAAACAAACCTCATTCATTCTTACCTGATGACGGTTGCTTGTGTTGCAATCGAAACGTCGTCTTCTATTGTCGAATTTATTTATTTTTCTACGTGACTTTACCGAAAGAACCAAAGAGTATATCCCTTGTGTGCGGATGTAAGGGAGTGGAAACACAACTCACTCCCACCACCACCACTGCACCAATATGTACGTATGTTGAACTTATATTCTTAGCTCTTTCGGTAAAGTCACGTTGAAGGGAAACAATAAAATAATAAAATATATATAAAACAATAAAAATTCTCACGATGTTTCGACCATAACAAAAACGGTCGTCATCAGGTGTGTCGGTTTGCATTGATTAATTTATTTTTAAACGGTGTATTTATTTATTTAAAAACGTCAGCGCCACGCGCAGCGATTTGGCAGTTGAACTTCTTTCGCACCGTACGTAGCCAACCATGCTAATCGGAGGTGCGGGAAAGAGTGGGGGGAGGGAGATAGCTAATGTTGCCTCCTTGAAGGGTACTGATTTCTCGCGGCGTGTGTGATACGTGCGGCACCTTGTGAGACGTGGTGAACGAGTGGGACTCGAGGGCTCTGTACGGCCGTGCTTCGGGGCTGTCTAAAAGCAATTTAAGAGGCCACAACGCGGCTCCGAGGGCCGTGCTTGAGAGCATCCCAAGCTCTGCTCAATTCAAATTCACAGAGACCGCGGCCACACGTTGCAAGCTGGCGCGCGAAGTGGCACCGGTAATTTTCGACTAATCAATGTTCCAGACACCGCTCGCCAAAGTGCTCACTCAACCTGCGCGCTTAACTTAACGCTCCCTTCATGTGCGTCGTTCTCAATAAATTATTCGGCGAATAGAGCAATCAGGCAAACTGTCTGTTTAACAAACGTTGCGTTCACATTCTGACATGTCTTGTACAAGTGTAGAATGGCAGAAAATGCCCCGAGTTAATGAGTAAAAAATTAATGTATTTGTCACGCGGACAATTTTTTTTATTTACTCTGCCACTTTAATTCAAACAAATAATAATTTCAAATAAAATTCACAAAATACCGACGGCTTCAGAAACACAGTCTTTTGAACACTCTACTTAGAAACCACACAAAATCGACAAAACATTATCTCAAGTAAGACTCGTTTAACAAGGGTCGTCTTTGAGAACAGCTCACTAATAAAATTGCAGTTGCTGCAATGTCTCTGCACGCAACGATCGCACACACTTTAGCAGACGCTGCATTGAACATGCAGAGGGCACAAGCGGAGTCATATCACCTCCAGAAAAAAAAATATTTGAAAACAAACCAAGCGGTCTTCTCGAGCGTGCCGGTGAGCATGTCCCGCTTACCCACCTCATCCTGCGTTGGAGCGCAAGCTTGCCAACTCTCAAAAGACTGGAGCCGGTTACCTTTGCGGTCTGTTTGAAACTGATTACAATTGCTTCACGACACGTGCTTTGGAGCACCCTGGCATGCAGGCGTCTGCCACGAGCCGGTTTCGCGCCTGCAGTTAATGCGAGACGTGTCCTCGTGTGCCACCCCTTGCCTCCCTCCGCGAAATCGGCTCGCGAGCAGCGTATGCGCATTTCAGCAGAACCGCTCGCACAAACCAGCCGAAGGGAAAGCATATCTCGAGACATCCGCGGCTTGAAGGTAACGGACACGAGCTTAAATCTAACCGCTCCGCTCATCCTTATTCCACTCGCCTCCACCAAATACCCCATTCCGAGTCCTAAAATAATGTCCCACCCAATTCTCTCTATTCAAGACATCCCACACCTGCCACCCCATAGCGTTTGCCCAGTCGCTGCAACTGCCCTACAAATGATTATCAACAAAGGAGCCCCACATTCACGTGTATTCGTAGCTCAACTACGGAAATTGGTTGTGGTCTCGCCATATCAGATATGACATTTTGATCTTACAGACGATACAGATCCATCCAGGTGCACTTTGTCAAATGGGGCCCCTTTTTATGTAACGCCTAAACCACCTGACCCCATACCGGTTAATGCCAAGTGCGCATGTAATATGTCAATGGATTTAGCTTCAACTATTTCCAATGGAGAAAATTACCAACTCTTTCAGTACAACATGTACAACGGTAAGAAAAATAACATCCATACAGAGGTTGATGTGGCAATTCATCACGCGCATTTTGTTTGTGGAGCCACACTGGGATCCGCGATTATAATTATCTTCATGATGTGCCAACCGTAGCGGCATAGTGTCGCGAATGTATACATGCATGCATGCACCGGAGCAAGGCACTGACCCCGAGTGTTTAAACCCCACACCCTGGTTTTGTCCCGTTCCACACGGTCCCCACGACAAAAGAAAGCAGCGCGTGTGTGTGTGTGTGCCCACCTTGTCAAGGAGCGACGCTCACAACAACGAGCACAGCGCCGGGCGGCTAAAAACGCAGCGAGGTGGCACAGTGGGGAGCACAGGTGGCGCATCTGTCGGTCATCTTAGTCAGTTGACCCATGGCACTTGCGTCTATCCTATGACCTGCCAGCCAGCCTTTGACACTTCACGTAGCCTCAAAGTGCACCTAGTCTGGCACAATCACCGTGGTTACGTCACCGCCACTTAGTGGTGAATGGCGGCTGTTGATGTTGCCTGCCTTGTATAGTTTTAGGGGTACGTTTCCACACATCTGGTTCACTCGAAAAATCAACGTTAGCCTGCCTGAGCAACTTGCCAAAGCGCTTTCATAACTGTTGCTATACCTCACTCTTGTATTTTCGAAGATACAAAAATATACTTTGTGGAATTGTCTGTTAACATAATGTTTCTGACAGCATCCCGATCTGTCAGTCAAGACCACGCGATCATATACTTGACCTGCCAGTCCGTTGCCAAAAGACCCAACCACGAGAGACCACTTTCTAAGTCTAAAGAAGCTCTGATCAGAGATCACTGTCAGTACGTTGTTCCAAACGCCTTTAGAAATAATGTTCTGATGTGCAACAGAGAGATAAAATAAAGGCAACTCCAGCTGTGTTAACATATTACTGTATTCTACAATTGCTGCCAATTACGAATTTTCAGGGAGAGACCTTGTTAGTTTATAATTGGAAATGTAGAGTGAATTGGAACAAAGAGTAGCTCCGAAAATGTGAAATAAACATGCAGGCTGGGTAGAATGTGGAGGATGCGTGGGTTGAATGAGCCTTCCAAACAAGCAGAGACTACACATCACACATTTCACAAGTAATTGCAGGTCCAAGTAGCGCAATAATTGATTTTAAACCCGATAGAGGAATTTGAGATGTTGCTCTCTCTCTCTCTGTATGTAATGAGTGGTCCAAAGCGGTTAGCGCTACGCTGCGCTATGCACCTGGCGACCCGGGTTCGATTCCCGCTCACGGCCAACACCAGTGACGATTATCTGAACCGGTCCCAGGCCTCCCCTAGGTCGACTCAGCTTCAAATGAGTACCTGGTACGGTGTGTAAACATTGCCACTAGGGAGACAAAGGCGGCCGGACGTGGTGCTGGCTACCCACCCCCTCGTGTACTGTTCCGGCCTTCATAGGTGCTCGCTAACAGCACTTGCCCCTACAGTTTGTTAAGGCTATATGGGGGATCTTTGATCTTTTTTTAATGACCTTAGCCCTCCAACAACGGAGAACGGAGGAGCGACGCTCACAACAACGAGTGGAGCGCCGGGTGGCTAAAGCACAGCAAGTTGGCACAAAGGGGGCACAGGTGGTGCATCAGCCGGTCGTCTCAATCAGTCGACCTGTGGCACCTGGGTCTGCCCCGTGACCTCCTGCCAGCGGGCGTTCGACACTTCACGTGGCCTCACGGTGCACATAGCTTGGCACAAGCGTCGTGGTGACGTCACCGCCACTTAGTGCCGAATTGCGGTTGTTGTTGTTAATGACCTTAACGGTCGTCATTGATCTCTCTCAGTTGGCATGATGGGCACCAAATGAATGAATGAATGACCTATCCCAAACTGCTGCCTAACTATAATGCTGTAATGGTGGACATGATACATGTACAGACATCCTGTCCAAGTGCTGTCGACTTTCCACCTTGTGGGTACCGTACAGCCTCGCAGCATGACGGGTCGTCGTCGTCATCAGTTTTTTCAACGTAGCCGGGAATGGATGACGGGGACGAGCGGTCATTAGACATGGGCAAGTCTGGCAGTGGCTTTCTCGTTTCTGGCACGACCACAACACCAGCAGACGTTGCGTTTGCCATTCACTTTATTTTACGTCTGTCAGCAACCTCCCGCTTGGCCCCCGACAGTTCCGTTACAACGATTTTCACAACCACACCGAGGTTTTATTCTAAATGATAACGTATTGCGGTACAGAGCTGCAATGTGTGTGTGTGTGGTTCCATGTTCAATGTGCTCGTGCTTAGGTAACGGCTAACCCTTTGTTTTGAAATTGACTCACAATTGATTGAGATAAATGTTGTTGTTTCTTGACCAGAAACAAAACCTGAGGTTTTCGTTTGACATATGCGCCTACCCGCACCGCCGAATTAGCACGGATGGCTACGGGCCGTGCGAACAAAAGTTCAACATCCATACCCAGTCAACTACAACCATCGAGTTTTGCAAGAGATTGCTTCACTATTCTGGCAAATCGCCCGATGATGCTGGATGTAATTACCATCGAAACGTCGTACTCAAATTGTAAATGTTGTGGATTTACTCTCCAACACACCAGTGGGCTGAAGTAGTAACTAATTGGTGCGTTTTGTTTACGTAACACACCTTACTGGCTGTGTCAGGTGGTGGAGGGTTACGACACATTTATACTTACGCGATCTAACTCAAAAACCACTATTATTATGAAAAAATAAGTGTGATGCACAGCGAATACGTGCAATTAAATATTTCAGAACGCTGTGGCAGGCTGGATGCCAATGTACGTCGCTGAGTTTGTTTTGTCTGCAAATTGATGAATGTGGAAGAAAAAAAACAACAGGGCTTTTAATAAAATACAGATTTACCATCGCGGAGTTTCACAATGTGTGCGTTTACGAAATCCACAATTTAAAAACCTTCAGAGCGTGTTGAACGAGTCACCGGATAAATCTTGACTTAAAGCTTTCGTGACTGCAGGAATTCATATTCATTGGGTCTTTCGCTAAAGTCACGTAGATCGGTTCAAAGAAAATACAAAAAAATTGACGTTTCGATCGCAACGCAAGCGGTCGTCATTCTTTTTGTTTTTTCTGTTACTTTCTTTAAACCAATCTACCGTGACTTTACCGAAAGACCCAACGAATATGAGTCACCGGATATCAACGGACCATTCCCGCAGTTAACATCCGAACCTGCAACATCACACGGCGCATTCTACAAACGAGAATTGCCGAGTGAGTAGTTCACGATCTGACAATATTGTAACGAGAACAACATGAGTCACATTGTAAGTTTATTGCTAAGGCACTATGTTAAGAGAACCGACAGGGTGCCAGGATTTATCGTAAAGCAAATACAATGTACATTCAAAGGTGATACATTGCGCACGGAACTGTCTAAACGTAAATGTTAACCTTACCTCTAGTTACTTTTAAAGTAATATTCGAAAAAGCATCACGTAATAACCATATTGGCTGAAACCTTTTCAAAATACGTTTTCTTTAAAACACATATATACATTATGAGCATTCAGAATATATAGCATACAGATGCAAAACATATGCTGTGTTTATGTTTACTGCATTCATATAAACACACGCGTATGTGTGTTTATTATGTGTGTGCGTGTATTATAAATAAAGAGGGCGGCAAACTATGCTATAAGCCTCGTGACCTGAGTTTGACTCCCGGCCACGGTTAACATCAGTGGTGAGTGATATGTATATGTACTGCTCCTGGCCTCCCATCATCATCAAACCAGCGTGGCATAGTGTGATCAGACAACCTCCATGACTAAAATGGCATGGGGAGATTTGATCCAGGAGCAGATAGAGCGATGTGCGTTATTATTAGTATTACTACAATCTTGATTTGAAATGTGTCATAAGTACTACTACAGTGACAAAGTAATTTTGCAAACATATATTGACAGTTTCGAATGCGACCCAACACATTAATTATCATTGTGCTCCTGCAATTAATAACTCAGTCTGCAAACTCTGCTAGACATCAATAATAAAAACAACAATACTCGACCGCACGGCGCTTTCAATCCGCCCCTCTTCTACACGACGTCGCCCATTAACCGAAATCGCCGCAAACGTGAAACCGCAAACACGCTGCCGGTGCCCGGCTCCCGCGGGGAGCCCACGGGCGCCAGCGCCTCCCGTCGGCTCCGTGGCGTCGATCACAGCACCGTCTCGCGCTCACCGCCGGCCTTGTCCGGCGCCGTGGCCGGCACCGCCGGCAGGCCGCCCCGTCGTGTCCTCGGCGAGCGGCGGCAGCGCCACTGGTGCGCGCCAGCCGCTCGCTGCGCCTGGCAGCCCTCGGGCGCCATCAGCGGCTGCCGCTCCTGCCGCTCCACGGCGCCGTCGCCCTCCTCGTCCTCGGGGTCGCCGTCGGGACGCGCCGGCATCGCCCGTGGGTCTGGGCGACGGCCGACGGCTAGCGGCGGCGGCGGCGGCGGCGGCGGCGGCGGCGGCGGCTTGGCGCCGTTGAGGCTCTCGATGGAGGACGAGAAGCTCTGGTGCCAGGCGGGCACCGTCTTGCCGGCGCTCTCCGACACCACGGCGGCCGCGGCGGCTTCGGCCGTGGGCGAGAGCTGCCCGTGAGAGGCCGGCGCTCGCCAGGGCGGCTCCCGCTCAAACAGCGTCGGCGGAGAGGGCGGCTGCACCCGGGGGCTGCCGGCCATGGGCACCGAACCTAGGCAGGGTTCATCGTGCCGACGTGGTGAGTCGTGTGGGTCGAGGCACGGCCGTGTCGCAGCGCCCGAGCGTGTGACTACCCACACGGCGTCCGCGCGCGCAGGGCGATGCTGCCGAGTTCGCCTCGCGCTGCGTGGGGGCAGCTGGCACTGGGGGTGCCCTCGGCTAGACTGGAGCATGGCATCGGAATGGTTGAGATAAAACTGAGCATTTTGATTTCCTGTGGCATTTAAGCACGCAGCCTATAGACGCTTATGTATAAATACTCACTGTTATCGGGAAAATATAACCGCACGTAACTCTCTTGGTTGTCTTGATAAATGCACGGTGAATTCTGCCCTGAGAATCTTAGTATTTTCTCGCGCATTATTCTTATGGAAATCTGCCAAAAAATTATGCAACCAGCCACTATGCTTTGACTTTTTGTAAAAAATAAACTATGGAAACTCGTGCCTTGCACACCTGTGCACCACAGTAGAATTGAAATGCATTCTTAAATGCTTATTCAACGAAATAATAATAATAATACTATTTCGACATCGTTAATATCATGACAATATTACGGCGTGGTATTTACACTTGAGAATTCTAATGTGGTGATACTTGGGAAAAGATTTGGTTGTGTTGGAGGTCTATTGCTCAGAAATTGGATCGTCGTCATAACCCAAGGTCTGTCCACTGCTGGATGAAGGGCCTGCAGATGCATCGCAATCCCTCACAGTCCTGCAATGGAAGCCATAATCCATCTCTCTCCCACACATGAACTAATCTCACGACTCCATCTCTGATGCATTTAGATTACATTTTGCTAAAACGTTGGCGTTATCCATTTGCAACATAATTCATGCAGAACGTTGTACTGCAAATGTGAAATTGCATGTTTTAAATGCACTCTTGCGTTTTCAAAAATACCTTAACCTTTTCTTGCAAATGTCTTGAATGTTATAAAGCTGTCTCATACCCTTGCAAAAATTATTACTGGATAGCTGCTTAGAGCACACCTCCTTTAACGCTTATGGCACATTGAGAGAGGATGCAGGAAACTGGAATTTTTGTTCCTCTTTTTTTGGCAGAAAATTCAAAAAATGACACGAAGCTGACATTTCCTAAGTACGTACGATTTCGTTGTTAATGGTTAGGCATTTTTCCTGTTCAGGGTTCATGTGACACAGCCCAGTAAATCTTTTTTTTTTAAAGAACAACTAGCAACCCATGTGTCTCTTGGACATGACCGTCCATCCCTCCAGCCATCCAGAGAAACATTTTCCTAATATAGCTGCCTGCACATCCGTTGGACGTGACCGTCTGACAGTCCATCCCGTCCGTTCCGTCCACATGGCCAGCCAGGCAGCCAGGTAGGAAGCCAGTCAGCAAAACTTTTTTTTATAAAATAGTATGATAACCCTATGTATGAAAAGCCTTTCATAAAGATTCTCAAAATGCTGCACAAGGCACAATAAAAACGAGGACATGGTTAAATATACAAATAAACACTAAAAGCCATTTTGCTGAATTAGTTATAAGTTGAATAAACGGAAGTGTGTAGATAAGATTTAGATGAGGTTTTGAAATGTCCACAGACTCACAGATCCTGATATCCCATTTACAGCGATTGGTCAATCTGCTGCCAGAGGAAGACCTCCTCCCACGTGGTGATTGTTTGGTTATGGGTCGTTGTTTGACCATACTTGATCACGTTGGTCACTGCGGGTTGGTGAAGTGGAGGGCATGCTAAGTACCACTTCAGACATTAGGCACTACCCGATGGCACTGGTGTTAGCCGTGACAGGGAATCACACTTAATGTTTCCTGGCTCATGTAACGGTGCATTAACCACATTGCCACCATTCCAATGGCAGTAATATTTACGTGAATTATAACTGAAACAGAAAAACACACATTAGGGAATGACACATTATGGATGTGCAAATGTCATGCTTTGCACTGTAAAATTCTACTTTTTAACGTGTAGCAGCACTGGAAACCCCTGGCATCAATTTGATTACATAATCACAGTTTAAGATACACCTCCGTAATATTGCCTTTAAAGAAAAAAATATATTAAAAAAAATATCGAGTAATGGTCCTCTTTCACAGCCATGTGCTATGAAAAAAATTCACTGCCCAAAACGTCGCCAATAATAGTTATTTATTTTAATGCAGTGCCATTCACGTACGTATTCAGTGTGTTTCGTTAACTGTGCTTGTGCAACAATGTCAACGCTAAAACTATACATTATTATCTCGTTGTCTCGATACTGGCATTGTTCAAAGCTGGAAAGGGGCATGGCTCTCCATGCAATTGGTCACCTCCTAACAAAACAAATTAGGCTCTGTACATACGCAGTCACACACACACACACTGCATTCTCAATGTGTTTAATGGGAGGGATCGCCCGACAGATACATTAGGCGGCTGCGGATGATCGTAAATTTAACTGCCATTCCACATAGCTTTAGCCACTATACAAACGCATTAATTTAAACTGTCTTGGCCACTACCGTGCTGCGTCCAGCGTGTTGGCAATAACGGCACGCATATAGCCAATGGCACAGCGTGCGTTGCCACGGGCCCTGCTTCATGGAATGAAATGATGGCCCTCCTTGACAAAATTATCCCCCCAACCAAATTCCCACTTCATCGACTGGCACCTGCGCCCCTCCGGCCTGTGCCGCCGGTGGAGTTGCACCGCCTGCACACACCCACGAGCCCCATCGCTGCATGCAGCGCCCACACGTTCACGGTGTCTGTTGGTAGATTTGGTCATCTCGCCCTCGCTGTCACAGAAACGCCACTTGCGTGCATCTGAGCTCCATATTTGCAAAGCCCCCTTTTCAATCAACGGCATGGGTGATGTACGACTGTGAGCAGGTGCTTAAAGCTCTCGTGACATTGGCGTAAAATAGCCTGCTCGAGCAGAGCATGGCGGGACCATTATGGGCTGCAACCATTGGGATATTACTGAAGACGACTGGCTTCCTTCCATCACATCCGCCCGCAGAAGGTGAGTCTTATTACGCTATTTATCAGATGTCCTTAATGTTAGCAAAGCTGTCACCTTGTCTGTTTACGGTGACTGTGAGACGAGGTGGTGAGAGAGAGCACCAATTGTAATGTAATGTCCAGATTTGTATCAATCCGCTGCGGGATGAAGGCCCTCTCCCCACGCCATCTGAGTCATGGAGTTTGTTTGACCATATTTGTCACAGATCTTAGCCACAGCCAGGAACTGAACTATAAAAGATTTTAATCTACCAGATGAGGCACACTGAGTTATATATCTCTTTTTAGAAGCGACCTGGCCACAAATGATAGCCCAACAAATTGGCGAATCATGCGCAAATTTATAGCAGCCAACTAACTTTAAAAGCATGTTTCTAAACATTCTAAGTCACCGCGCAGTCTGCTAAGCACTGTGCCACCGCTGCAACCTGAGCATCAATTAAAGTTGCATTATTGGTTTAACGGAAAAGCCCCTGAGTTCTATTTGTAGTGGGGTTCCAGATATTGATGCAGCGTGCCACCCACAGACTTTGTGTAATACAATGGGCTGCAGTGCGACCATACAGCAAGGATCGGTCAGGTTATTGAAGAGGAAGAAACGAGTGGTGGTTTGGTGGCTACGATATTTGGTGGTGGGGGGGGAGGGTAGAGGAGCGGGCGAGGATAGCACCTTGCCTCGGGCACCAAACCCAGTGAACATGCAACGTCGGGGCCAACGCTGACATGTGGTTGGAACCAATGGACCAACGATTACCCCAACGTTCCAGGTTTGCTGGGTGGTGAATGTCTCACCGTGGCTCTGATGGGCAGCGGCTTAAATGAAACATATTGGTGGTTCAATCCACAGGCGTGCATTGTAAACAACGGCCTTTCAAAGTTAATGTTCACATTTTCAATGACATGATGAATTGCATAAGTGGGGCGGTATTTACTTGGGAAGTATATTACTTACTGTACACGGGGACACTGAAGCATATTTCGAGGTAATGAAACGCTTTAGGGATTTTTCAAGCCCTTTTAATTTTAAAGTGTTTTTATTGCCCCCCGCTGGATCGGCAATCATATTCATAAAACCATTGTTTTCCCCCTACCCGGGGAACTTACATTTTATGCAAATAATTAAAACACGAATAAAACACAAAATGCGCAAAAATTACACCGATAATAAAATTCGAATGCACCTGATTTCAGTAAATACGCAAGCACATTGGAGAAATTGCATTGATTCTACATCTTTTTTGCAAAATCGTTCACGCATTTTTGTTTACCTACTCGGTTACAAAAAATACTAATGTTGATGTTCATTGAATAAAAACAAATACTTTCTTAATAGAAAGGCAGCCAAGGAATGGGGCGATTACATGAGTTCGGATGCAGGTGCTAGGTAGATCACTACATCGTAAGATTGTGGCAATGGCTTGGGGAGGCCTTCATCCAGCAGTGGATTGACCATGACTGATGATGATTTTGAGGAAAGGCAGCACGGACGTGTGAGAGCCATCTCACAAATATGTCACAGTGAAAAAATTACTTGGTGATACTGCATGGGCAGTGGTACACCAGCGCAAATAACAAATGAAAACTCAATGCATTCATCAATAACACTGGCCTTTCAATATATATAATATTAATAATAATAAACGTTTTTGTTAAATAGCCCCTCTTCACAGCACACAGGCCAGAGATGCAGAGAAAAGAAGAAGGGACCATTGCCTGACACATCGCCTATTATACACTTTTATATTTTTTTAAGGTCACGGTTTTACATGTTCAGTTTTGTCGTCGTTCTGTCACAGCGAAACAGTGGCAGTATCAAGAGGGGACGCACCGTTTTTGATGTCCTTCAGGATTTGGTGGCACCCTTTGGCCACGAACGTGATTCCTTCATCTTCGTCAGAGTCCTCTTCCGAGTCCACTGCTACAGACAGCGATTCTGCATTAGGTCCTCACACACACCCCGCTGTTCATTCCCGAAAACGAGGATGTAACTTTTATTTTGTAACCTGCGCATAAAATGATGGAAATTAAATGACCATAACAAAGGGGGTGCTTTAGTGGCACTTGCGTCAAATCGTCGAAAAATTTCCACGATTTGGCACCACGAACCCTTTGCTTTAGCACACCGTCGTGTTGTTGGAGAAAACCACACGATCGACAGGTTTTTATTTTGGCTTTGCAATCATAAAATATATAGTTATTGGGGGGGAGGAGGAAACAGTAAACAATCGTTATCTATCAAATAGATTAATTTTCACAATGCAACGAAAACAAGGAATGCTGTGCCGAGCTTCACAGCCATTCAGTCAAATTGCGTTACCTAGTTTTGTTTTCGTATTGCCAGCCCGAAATTATCTTAATAATAGGGTTTTTCCCCTTTTTTTCTGGTGACAAAACTTAAACCTTTTGCAAGGAATCATGTTTGCATTAACCACAATACCTGCAGTCAAAATGCAAACCAAAAACAACACTCTGATAATTTATGCATTGTCCTTGAAACTGATTGGTCCACACCAGAGAAAGTTTCCTTCGAGCCTAGTCTCATACAGTATTCGACCAGATGACGCCAAAAGGCGCACAGTTCAAAGACAACGCACTATCAGAGTAATGAGGGCTAGGGGGTAAACATCACAAGGGGAAAAACCCTATTATTGTATTTTGGTACTGGCAAAGGAGGCCTCATGACGAAATTATCTTATTAAGCTGCTGTTGTCTGCAGTTACGGTTAACTAAGTCTTCCATTCAAAAGATACAAATGTATTTCTAAGGGTGTTCGCTCCTGCTACAAAAATAAATCAAACTGAAATGAAAGACATCGGCTCCTCGTTGTACCGAAAAATGTAAATTCGCGATATAAAAGTATCGGATATCATAAGGCAGAAAAGTTTAAAATCCAGAACAAAAGTAGATGTTTTTGTGCGAAGTAAACACAAAAACGTAATAAAAGGTGTGGTGGTATCACTCCCACCATGCAAGGTCCCCAAAATGGACCAAAATAACCCCACCGGTCTCCCTTATTCACAGCTTTCAGAGCCATCGCACCTGTCCCTTCCGGCTCCCAGAGCTAACCGTACACGTCTCATGTTTTCCAAGGCCGCTCTTTGGAAAGGCCATAAATTAGGAGCCAAATGTGAGGACGGCTCACGGGGAAAAAATTTTTTCAAAAAGAGCACGGCCGTGAAACGCATGGCCGCAGAGGAACAAAAAAAATGGTCAAGGCGCAGGCCCCGCAATTGCTTGCTCTGGCCACTGCCGGCGGAATGACTTTTCACTCAAAGGAAGTTCTTGATAGACCCACTTCTCGGGCATCTGGTCTACTCTTCCACGCCGGACAGATGCCGTGGAAGGAGTGTGAAAACAACGACGTCTTAGCCCACCCGCTCACGCGACCTGCTGACGGACTAACTGCACCGCAGAAATACCTGCCCGGGCAACAACATTTTTAATCTTCTGAACCTGAATGTTTCTGAAAATATATGTGCGTAGTTGTCTTGATGTTCTACAGTCGCAAATTTAAAATGTGTTATTAAGATGGCCCCCAAGAGGGCACTTTGCTACAGCAAATACATATTAACGAAATTAGCGGTAAGTAAACATCAACCCTGACTAAAATAATATCGTTTCAATCTTAAAAATAATACTCATTAACGTTGTTTCACTCACCACACATGAATACTTACGAAAGCAGATAGCAATGAATTAGTGTCCACCTTACAGTACACGCAATCTCACACTTCATTTCATATTTTTCTAAATACCTACGTGTGCATTGCAACCTATTTGTTTCTGCCTTCGTTGTACATGGATGTAATATACACGGCGCACACGTGTGCATCAATATAGAGAGAGAGTTTATAATTTCGTCCTCGCTTCTGCTCATCTTGTCTCGAGCCAATGAAGCAGTTTATTGCGGTGTTTATTTTACGTGGCACGTGAATTAATGGTCGGTATAAAATGGTCACCGTTGGTGCACCTCCCTGACGCACATAGCCCAGCTTGCAGCATACATACAAATTGAACGCCCATCTGCCATCGTTACCAGAATCAGAGCCTCCATTCCAGGCAGACTTCATTGAGCATCATCAGCCGTGATCCATCCACTGCTGGATGAGGCCCCTCCCCACCCCCTCCCTCTTTGCTGTCGCTATCCCTACATGACACACCGACGCCACAATCCATCTCACTCCTGCGCGGGAGCCAATCTCATCGCTGTCTCGGCGTAGGTCATCCTCTTGGAAGTGATTTTCTTCTTTTTGCTGCCATTTTCATCAGCAATATTGTTTTGGCGCCCTCCCATCCAGAACAGCTATTCTGGTACGAAAAGCTCTCGAGATTCTTTGCCAAATTAAGGCAGTGTCTTATTGAAGAAGCCATTAAGAATACCGGCGAGAAAAATATCACACTTATTAAAACGCAATTTTAATTGCCCCATACACATACATGGAAATTAGGGGCTTAAAGAGAGTCACATTGTGTTAAATTAATTTACGACATACCTTTGGGCTTGCTTTGAAACTCCTTGCATGATAATCATACATTCGGTATTATCTTAATGAGGGCTACTGTACTGAAGCGTGGTCATTAATGTTAACCTCTGCATACCTTTTTGGATAATATAATTTTCTCAAAAACATGCAATTCCCTCTCATTCAATGTTACTCCATTCCATAGAGCGAGTGCATTTGTTTCAGGGGCTTGTGCCCCGCGTTGCAACGCCAGCAAAAATTGCATTGACAGTTGCTAATTGTTTCACGGGAAAGAAAAGCACACCGATTATCGTCATGAAAACGCCAGCTGTTAGCAATACATCCATTGTGCCACAGCAAGCAATGCCACATGGCACGCCTCGACCTGGGTTTGTCTTCTATGCAATGAGACATGATGACAACCATATTCATATTTTGTTTTAATGAACGAATGCACGACATTTAATTGATGAAAAAAAATCTACGTTGTCATGGTTATCTAGAGAGAGAGAGAAAGATATTTATATGTTGCAAGTATGCTCCAAATGTATGATTTGAGCGATAACAACTGCACGCTTGCTCATCGTACCACAGGGCCGTTAATGTACGCTTCACTGCATGGCGGTGCTCTTTGATAATTCCCCAGTACGGAATGAGTGGACAGCTGAAGGGACTTGAGACCAATCGTCATCGTGCAAACTCGGTGGTAAGTCTGTTGTACGATTAACTTACCCAGCAGTCTAATCAATGGGGAACAAACGAGTGTCAGCGAACGAGCGTGCATGCGTGCGTGCGTGCGTGGGTGGGTGGGTATGCATTTTGAATGCATCTCTGACCTGTGTCTATCCAACTGACTGAATGTTTCATCCTGGTAGATGGTGGCTTTCCATTGGCCACTCTGTCTCCCGCTTTCTATTTGAGTGAAAAGAAAATGAAAAAAAGAAAGAAAGAGGGAAAACAAAACTGAGATGTCGTGGGCATCGAATCCTTAAAAAAAACCACACACAGAAACAAAAAAACACTTCCACGAGCACAATCGCAATCTTCACATCCCGCTCTACAGTTTCGCCAAATCCTTACACAGATCCAATCTCGGAGCAAGACAAACCCAAGGTCAAAGTAAAGCGTTCACTGTGGTACTGTTGACGCTTCATCACGACGCCGATAGACCTGTTAAGGGGAGCCGGGTTATCAGATAGAAATGACACACTCAATCTAGCAGGGTAAATAGGATTCATGCACACATCATGCATAGATTGCCCCATTTGCAAGGAGTTATGCTTTTATTTATCAGGGGGGGGGTCTTTGTCAACTGTATATGTGTGTGTGTATAGAGTAGATTCAATTTATGGATTCTTTGTCAAGACACATTTTTTGAATTCCACGCACACGACACCATGAATCTCCATTGACCATCTCCATCGCGGAAAAGGTTGCACATTCTCATTAGGGGGCATTATGAAAGTGTCACAGCGTGAACAATTCTGAAAGAAAAATTAGTTTGAGATGATCCCCATATCCACATAAAATCATTGAATGGGGCCTTGTTGCAATTCTGCATGCATCTTAAGGAGTCTTAAACTAAACAAAACTATTTTATTCTACCAGGTAGGGCCCACTGAACTATAAAGCTTTTTTTTCAGGAGCGACCCAGCCACAAATGATAACTCAACGAAATGACTAATCATGTGGAAATGTATAGCAGCCATATATTCTAAACGCACGTTTAAAAAAATGTCCTTTACCTCAAGAAATCTTCCTGAGGTAAAACACATACAAGCCAATTTAATATTCCTAAACATGCCATTATCAACTGAAACGCATCCAGATTATTGCTTGAAAATGACACGCACACTGTTAAATGGCTCTCTGAATATGCAGGCCTTCGTGAGCCTGTGTGACAAGCAGGCTTACTTAAATGAGTGCCGCATTACACACGTGTCAGCGCTTATACCAATACGCACACTACGCGATGAATTATTAAAATACATTTCTTCACCCGCAGGGAGAATGCAAAATAATGTTTGTATTGATTAATAGCATAATTTTTTAGCACACGCTGAAATAAATACATCAACTTCTTTCCGACACATTTGCTTTTTCGTGCGAGCATTTACTAAGCGTCCGTACAAATGTTGCTCTGCATGTGGATTTCATTTGCGTAAAAACCATAATTTACCAGCACGAGCCATAACCTATTGTGCACAACCCACACATGCATTGCAACAAGCTCATTTTAGCATACATACTCTTTCTGCAAGCACTCCGAATGTCACGAACACACTAACACGCCTTACATACACACCGAAGGCAAAAGATCCCCGGCATAGCCTCAACAGACTCCTGCAGCAATTGCTGCACCAACGGAGACCAACACGGCACACGAGGGTGGCCAACACCACTCCCAGCCACCTTCATCTCCCCAGTGCTGATGTTTAAACACCGCATCAGGTACTCGTTTTAGGCCGAGTAGACCTAGGGGAGGCTCCGGACTGGCTCAGATAATCGTCACTGGTGTTGGCCACGATCGGGATTCAAACTCAGGTCGCCGGGTTTGAAGCGCAGGTTGCGGTAACCGCTACACGACTGCTCCCCACGTGCGTACGAAAACACGTACACACTGACATGTACAAGAGCGATGGAGCATTGCGTGTGCATGGAGGATAACCGGGCAATGACAGTACCCCCCTCAATCTGGCCGGAATTAGAGCATTTACGCAAAGTTGCGGCCACTCCGTGGGGACATCGCTCTCGTTCTACATTAACAAAAAATACTTTTATCTTTCCTGAAGACGACCGCTTGTGTCGCGATCGAAATGTCGTAGTTTTTTTTGGTTATTTTTAGTTATCTTCTTTGAACCTATCTACGTGACTTTACCGAAAGACCCAAGAATACGAATATACTATTACTGGCGGCGGGGGAACACGGAACGCCCGACGGCTCTGCCCTTCTAAAATCTCCACCGTGCGAACTCGGCATCCCCTGCAGACCGTGCCACTCATGCGTGCTACCAAAACCCCCCCCCGCGCCGCCACGCGTTCATGCCACGTACACGGTTAGGGCTAACGTCACCTTCTTGCAGCCCTTTGCCTTCGCCTTGCCATGCACACAGTGCCGGCTGCTCGCAAAGGCGCTTAGGTGCTTGTGCACGGTCCTCTGGAATATCTCCGTCTCCTGCCGATCCTGCTCGCTCTGGCCGGCCAGCGTGTAGCGACCGTACCTGTGCTTGTGCTGCGTCTCGCAGACGCACGCGCGCACACGCACGCCACGGCATGGACAGCACGACGCACGGGGAGGAGCGGGAAACAAAAGTGAGACGTTCAATGTCGCGGATACGGTGCGTTTCGCCATCAGCATCTGCAGCAATGGTGTCAATCCATTGGTGTCAATCCATTGGTGTCAATCCATTGGTGTCAATCCATTGGTGTCAATCCATTGCTGCACGAGGGCGTCCCCACTGTGTCGTCATTCCTCACCATTCTGCGACGCCTCAATCCATCTCGCTCCTGCATCGGAGCAAATTCAATCGCTCCTATCTCCATGGCGCCAGTCCACTCTGGCATGTTCTCCTCTGTGGTTGCGATTCCATCACTGATCTTGTCCATCAATCATCATCTGTTTTTTTTTTAGTGATGCATCCTGCCCTGGCCCACTTAAAAAAAGTGATGCCGCATCTCTAATTCGTCTTTGTTCTCTGATCCACGTGTTGCACTTTCTGTCTCCCTGTGTAATTAGAAGCATACATCTCGTCGCGATTCTTTGCGCACGATCCAGATTTCAGGACAAGGTTGCGAAGTGGGGATGGAGGCAGGACTGGCTTAGATATCCCTCGCCACTGATGTGAGCCATTGCTGAGAATAAAAATCAGGAAGGTGGGCTCGCAGCAGCACAGTGGCGCCAACCAATTTGCCAACACTTTCCCACCGATGTTAAAGCCACGGCATTAATGACTCAGATATATAATGCGTACTTTAAATCGAAAATTGATTTCGTTCGAACTGATTGTGTTCAGTTTGTTGTCCTTCCCCCGCGCCTCCGATCAGCACGGTTGGCTGAGTTACAGAGCGAAAGATGCCCAACGTATGCGCAATGCAACCTTTGCAAAAATATGGAATTTATTTTTAAAGGAAGTAAATTTAAAAAATCAGACATTTCCGCACGCTGACCTGACGCATGGGCAAGACGACGCTCATTTCTTATTCACGACCCGTGGCGCACACGGGGCGCGTCTCAGGCGATGCGGACGGACGGACGGACGGACGGAGAGACGGGCGGAGAGACGGGCGGAGAGACGGGCGGAGAGACGGGCGTCACGTCGCACACAGGGGCCTGAGAAACCTCCCTGGCGTGCGCGTGTTTTCAGTGGCCCTTTCTTTAACCCTTCGTCGAGCCTCGGCAATCTCTCAAACAGTGTCAGGAACTCAATAAGCAGGTGATCGGTGCGTTCCGCGAGAAGGGGGGGAGGGGGGTGCTCATCGCGCGGCCGGGGGGGGGGGGGGCAGCCCCCCCTTGGCGCCCGTCGCCGAGTGATTACGCTGCCCGACCCCTACCCTGCGTGGCGGTCGATACAGGTTCTCCTGGAGCATGCGGTGAGTGACGATGTCCTCCCGGTCGCGCACACTCTTACGGCCGGCTTCCACCGCCTGCATGTCCAGGCACACGCAGCTGCTGTTCTCCCTCCTGCAGCGGCGCAAACAACACGCAGAACATCAACGGGCACGGCGGAGGGCACGGCGGAGGGCACGGCGGAGGGCACGGCGGAGGGCACGGCGGAGGGCACGGCGGAGGGCACGGCGGAGGGCACGGCGGAGGGCACGGCGGAGGGCACGGCGGAGGGCACGGCGGAGGGCACGGCGGAGGGCACGGCGGAGGGCACGGCGGAGGGCACGTGCTCTCTTGTGCTGTGCGCCTTTTGGCGTCCTCTGGTCTAACACCGTTTGAGACGAGGCTCTAAAGAAAGCTGTCTCTGGTGTGGACCAACCAGTTTCAAAGACAACGCACGTACTAACAGAGCACGTTTTTTTTTTGTTTGCATGTTCACCACAAGTATATGCGGTTCATGCAGGCATTATTACTTGTAAAAAAAAAATTCAGTTTGGTGTTTTAAACATCGTAACACCTGTTTTATTGCCAGAAAGGGAAAAACCCATTCTTACATTTAGATACTGGCAAGAGACACCTCTGTCTGCACGACAACGCACTGCCCGTTAATAGAGGCATCTCGCGAGTGCTCCGGCGAAGAGCACGGTGGGTCAGATGGAGTTAAACTCCGCAAGGCACGCCGTGGCACAGCATGCAACGCCGTGTGCACATCCATGAACGAGCAGGGCGAGGTAATCCGGATCGGCAAATCGCAGTGCGAGGGTGAGTGTGCGTGTGTATGTAGGGGAGCGGTGGTGTTGCGGTTAGCGCTACGCTGCGCTATGAACCTGGCGACCCGGGTTCGATTCCCGCTCACGGCCAACACCAGTGACGATTATCTGAACCGGTCCCGGGCCTCCCCTAGGTCGACTCAGCCTCAAATGAGTACCTGGTGCGGTGTGTAAACATTGCCACTGGGGGAGACAAAGGCGGTCGGGCGTGGTGCTGGCCACCCACCCCCTCGTGTACAGTTCCGGCCTTCATAGGTGCTCGCTAACAGCACTTGCCCCTACAGTCTGTTAAGGCTATAGGGGGGATCTTTGTCTTTGTATGTAGGAGGGCAGTAGGAAGCCACAGCTCGGTAAGGATACACAGGTTAATCTAATTCTAATCTAATTCAAGCAGATTTTACGGTTTATTTAGCGATAACAATTAACGCAATAAAATGACACATGACCCATTTATGCCACCCGTTTATTTCCAGGGCTGTGAAAAATGTAGGTAATATTACCGACATAGAGTCTGACCTTAGGTTTAACCTAATGTAATAAAAATACATTGAATAATCATTTGCTCAAATTATGTTACGAAAAAAAGTGAGCTCGTTAAATTACTCGGCTCTGCTACGGATATATCGAGTGCACATAAATTGGGCACACACTCCCTGCTGAATGAATGACTCGATATGCAAATTAGTTGTATTTTCAGGGCCAGGTGGAAGCTGTTGAGGTACAAGCGGTGGCATTACAGCATGTTGCTGATAGAAGCCTCAGGAGCCTGTAGTCGTGCCATGGAGAAGTTGACGCTGCTCATCTTATCCCCGCTCGGCGTGCGAATGAATGCCAAAGAGCCACTCCGCTCTCCCTGCACGCATCACACAGACAAAGGCACCCGCATATAGCACACGTCACATCACCGACACAAGATGAGCAAAGTGGTTTACGCTGCATCCCACTATGCGCCTCTTAATGAGTGCATTCACTTTTGTTCGCGCTGTTTTGGACTTTGTTTATTTATTAATTGAGTCCTGCTTCACGAGGTTACACCGCACGCAAACATGTGCACACAAACATGTGCACGCAAACATGTGCACGCAAACATGTGCACACAAACATGTGCACACAAACATGTGCACACAAACATGTGCACACAAACATGCGCACGCAAACATGCGCACGCAAACATGTGCACGCAAACATGCGCACGCAAACATGTGCACACAAACATGTGCACGCAAACATGTGCACACAAACATGTGCACACAAACATGCGCACACAAACATGCACACACAAACATGCGCACACAAACATGCGCACACAAACATGTGCACACAAACATGTGCACACAAACATGCGCACACAAACATGTGCACACAAACATGTGCACACAAACATGTGCACACAAACATGCGCACACAAACATGCGCACACAAACATGTGCACACAAACATGTGCACACGTGTGCACGCAAACATGTGCACACGTGTGCACACAAACATGTGCACACGTATGCACACAAACATGCGCACACAAACATGTGTACACAAACATGTGCACACTTGTGCATTCCGAACACAAAAACAAAGATCCCCCATATAGCCTTTGTATCGGACTGTTGGGGAAAATATCATGAGCACACACCTATGCAGGCCGGCTCGGCACACGAGTGGGCGGGTGGCCGACACGATAAACAGCCGCCTTTGTCTCCCCAGTCCCGATGCTTAGATACCTCACCAGGGCAAGCCCCAAACCAATTCAGATATTTGCAACTTTTATTGGTCGTGAGCGGGAATCGAACTCGGGTCGTCAGGTTCATAGCGCAATGCGCATAAACATTACACTACAGTATAACAACAAAATACAAAGATCCCCCGTATAGCCTTCACAGACTGTTGGGGCAAATTCTGTTAGCGAGCCCCTATGAAGGCCGGCACGAGAGGGCTGAGTGGCCAACAACATGCCTGGCCGCCTCCCAAGTGGCAATGTTTACGCGCCACACCAGGTACTCATTTGAGGCTGAGTCGACCTAGCGGAGGCCCAGGACCGGTGCGGATATTCGTCACTGGTGTTGGCCGTGAGCGAGAACCGAACTCGTGTCGCCAGGTCCGTAGCACAGCATGCTAACCGCTACACTACCGCTCCCCACACATCTGAATACAACCGCAAAGACAAACACACACACACAACTATCAAGCACATAAGATCCTAATATCCTTAAGACCCTGTCTTATATGCCACGGTTGTTCAATCGCAGAGCGAAGTTTTCCTCCACCACAATAACCAATAACTGATAGTCAGGAACAATTTCTATAATTCCCCTGTTCATTCAATAAGTTTCCATTACCAGCCCAGAGTATGCTTTGTACAGTAATGGCAGGGTGCCCACTTCCTTCTGTCTCGATTGCAAATAAAATATATATATATATAATCCCAATTATTTTCAAATGCCAATTATTTTCAAATGCCAATTATTTTCTCAAGGAAGCCTCACTGAGTCTCGGAGACTTTTTTCAACAAGGTCCTACATTCGGGATAGTTGGCCAATTATATAAAAGACATTGTTTGGCATGTGCGAGGAAGTTAGAGCACTTGCGAGAAAACCCACAGATACGAGGAAAAAAGTTCTCAAAGGTCTGCACAGGCAGAGTTAATTCACCGCTGTATGGCCATTTCCAGGCTGCTAACTTGTGTCACCTTCTGACCACACTTCACGGCCATCCTCACATTTAGGGATGTTATTATTATCATGCTCGGGCTCGGTATAAGGTCAAACATCCATCTGAAATGTTTTCATTTTTTGAGAACTCATCAGTGACTGCAATGACACCATCACTTTGGATTTATAGCCAAAGTATAAAAGGGCCCTATTTGAAACAGATCCATCAACATTTGTTATTTTAATTTTATTTCACTTCACACGATTCACCAAACCAGAAAATAATTATTTTTAGCAGTTTTGTTGTAAATGTGCTGAACTGCTTGGATGTGTCCCTGGATGGAATTTGCCTTGAATGTCAGGCATCCCAAGGACCATGACATACTGATGAGACGCAGATGAGTGAAACCCGATCCAGGGTTTTCCTTGCTTAAGCAAATGCTCCAGGAGAACATTGATTTTACAAGACTCATTGAGAACATGTGATTGTTCTCATTATTTGGTTAGTCGATGGACTAAAATTACATTCAATTTTGTTCAGTGAACAAACCTTTTGATATATATTTTTTAATTAATATATTTTTAAACATCTTCTCGTCCTTTAGAGTTTTGGGCCATTGGAACATGACTGTATCCAAGACCAATATCTCCCTGTATTCCTCTCTCGACTTATTTGTGTCCTCCACTTCATCTCTCACCTCATGAGTGTTTGACAAGCAAGCAAAGATATCTGTTATGTTACACCTTTGGTGAAATTTGGGCTACGTGTTTGTGACACATTCAAATGTTTTTGTCTCACTGGGAAACAGCAGTGCAGTGACCAACGAGAAAAAAATAGTACCTTTTGCTGCAATGGCCCCTTGACCTCTTCAACACATGTATGATGAAGAAACAGATGCCATCAACATGGAGGAAGGCAAGAGTCACAGCTCTGCCCAGACCAGGGAAAGACCATTCATCACCAAAAAGCTACAGAACGATCTCCCTCCTTAGCATCACTTACAAACCCTACGAACGCCTTATCCTGCGAAGAATTCACCTCTGGTAGATCTCATACTCATACGAGACCAAGCGGGCTTCAGGCCCGGGCCGATCCTGTGCAGGCCAACTACTAAACCTCACACAGTACATCGAAGATGGTTACCAACAGGAGATGATCACAGGCGCAGCGTTTGTTGATCTGTCTGCTGCATATGACACTGTTCAACACCGGCATCTTGAGGCACAAACTGTATCTCATAAGTGGCGACCTAGACCTTCGCCAGACCATGCGTAGCCTCCTAGAGAAAAGACGCTTCAACGTGGAACTAAAGGGGCAGACACGTAGATGGCGTTCTCAAAACAATGGCTTACCACAAAGCAGTGTGGCTCACCCCACTTTTATTTAATATCTGCACCAACGATCAGCCACTTCCTGCTGAATGCCAGCGGTTTATCCTATGCTGACGACCTCTGTGGCACCACACAGCAGAGGAATTTCGAGAACACAGAGAAGATCCTGGAGAGGGCACTGGACAAGATGTCAAGATAGTACCTAAATAATCATCTCAAACCCAACCCGAGTAAAACCCAAATCTGTGCCTTGCACCTGAGAAATCGGGATGCAGAGCGACACCTGAATGTCACCTGGCGAGACCAGAGCCTCGGACACCAGAGTCACCCAGTGCACCTCGGGGTAACACTGGATCGTATATTCAGCTACAAAAAGCACACTTTAAATACAAACGCCAAGGTCAACATACGAAACAACATTTGGGCGAAAGCTCGCAAATTCAAAGTGGGGAGCACTTCCATCCAGTCTACGCGCCACTGCCTTAGCACTGTGTTTATCCGTGGCTGAATATGTAAACGTCGACACCGCCCTAAATGGCACGTGCAGACTCATATCAGGGGTGCCTGAGAGACACCCCTGTCCCCTGCCTGTATGCAGCACTGTCTGGCATAGCGCCCCCTAACGTCAGGAGGAGGGTAGCAGGTGACCACGACCGGCAAGTCAGATTGGGGACGTCCGTCATCCGCTTCGTGGCCATCAGCCAGCACCACCGTCGTCTGTCATCGAAAAACAGCTTATTGTGCTCCAATGTACCACTGACCACATCACCGGAATATACTAGAACGTCCCTCTGGCAAAAATAATGGGAAAAATCGAGTGACAAAACTGGTGAATGGAGCCGACGAGGAGTCACCCCCCAGTGAGGAGCTCGCGCCTGACTCCATTTCCAAATGGCTCACATGGTGGAGCCCAAACAGACTGAGAGTGGGTCTGAGCAGATGCAACGCTCTCGTTAAATCATCGGGGGCTTCTACACAACTGACCAAATCTCCTTGTCAGGAGAAGCAAACCACATGAATCATCTCCTGAGATGCCCTGCAGCACTCCTCAAGATTTGTCAATGCCAACACCAGAAGCGGTGGCCTATGCAGAATATTTGGCCATGACAATAGAGGTTTGACAGGAGACACGACGAAGACCTTTTACTGCATATCTCGATCACCATAAACACCCCCCACCATCAGCACCGCCCCCCCCCCCACGCCCTCCACTTCCCCTGCACTATTGTGCTACTCCACAAAGAAATTACCACTTAAGCACCGAAATCATGCATGCTACTGCAGGCATTCCAGAGACAAACACACATTTGAATTTTCTTTATGGGGAAAAAAATTATCATTATGAAGTGAATCGCAGCAAGCAGTAGAAAATTGGGACGCGGAATCAAGCTGTTACTAATTTAAATTTCCATTATTTTGAACAAAGTCATAACGCGTTGCAGAAAAATATGCTTCCCAAAATGAGGCATTAGTGAATGCGATCAAGCGAATGCAGTGAGTCGCAGTTGTGGCACGTTTTATAACTTGATAGCCATGCGTACATTTTACAAGTTTCGACCATCGCGTTACCATCACATGCTTTAACTTTAGAAAATTACGCGACGAGGTCCTCATCATCCACCTCTTCAGCGCATTGCACTTCGTAAAATCGCTGGCAGCATTGTCTGTCTGCAGGGAGGATTTAACCCCGTTTCAAGCCATAAGGTGGGCCAAATACTAATTAGCGACTGTTTACCGGAGACTGAAATTAACATCTCACATTTTCCCAAATGTGAAATATGCATGAGCATCTGCTTCAAAATGTAATAACATGTAAAAAAAAAAGTGTAACGTATACAGCGCTTGATAATTTATGCACCTTTGTTTACATTTTTACATTATTTATCACAGATAGCGACAACTTGTACTGGAATCTTGTAGATAAGATGAGTCGTTAGTAAGGCGCATTTCATCCGTAGATCCCAATGCATCCATGTGAGTTTTCAAGACAGGCTTGAATATTATCTAAGTGGATCGTTTTAAATCGGTTGTCTCAGAAAGCCTCGCTGCAGCTTCAACCCTGATAATTATCAATAGAAGGCTTCTTGGAATTTAAGACAAAAACAGTCCTTTGAAAATATTTGCATGAGGCAGAAAACCGTAGTGCTCAGAGAAAACCCACACAGATGATGATGAGATATATACTGTGTACCCAAACTCCAGTGCACACGTACTGGACATGTACTCATTCGTTGATTCATTAAATTACACTAATTGTTCTGCCTCAAATCATGCCTTACCATTCAATTATTTACGTATGCCAATTATACGCAGATTATATGTTCTTGTTGTTGTAAGGTTCCAGCATATGGTTTGAAAAATGATAGTAACAGCAATAGAATGTTATATATGGGCCAATTATACGTTTAAGCTAACGAGGCAAACACAACCGTACGAGAAATATATTAAGACATGAGAAACAACAGATAAGAGATGGCAAACATTTGATGAAATTAGACGAAATAATCATTCAATCTCAATGCAACCAGGATTCCTGATTAATGGCTGTGGGCTGAGTGGTTTAACCATGACATGCCTAACACACAATGTGTCGGAAACCTACTTTCTGTACTGTGTCTTGGCGGGACCTTCTTTATCCTACGGACAAGTGCCTCAATCGAGCCATCGCCACCTCCGAGGTTAAAAGAAAAAAACAGGATACAGTGAGGGAAAAAAGTATTTGATCCCCTGCTGATTTTGTACGTTTGCCCACTGACAAAGAAATGATCAGTCTATAATTTTAATGGTAGGTTTATTTGAACAGTGAGAGACAGAATAACAACAAAAAAATCCAGAAAAACGCATGTCAAAAATATTATCAATTGATTTGCATTTTAATGAGGGAAATAAGTATTTGACCCCCTCTCAATCAGAAAGATTTCTGGCTCCCAGGTGTATTTTATACAGGTAACGAGCTGAGATTAGGAGCACACTCCTAAAGGGAGTGCTCTTAATCTCAGCTTGTTACCTGTATAAAAGACACCTGTCCACAGAAGCAATCAATCAATCAGATTCCAAACTCTCCACCATGGCCAAGACCAAAGAGCTCTCCAAGGATGTTAGGGACAAGATTGTAGACCTACATAAGGCTGGAATGGGCTACAAGACCATTGCCAAGCAGCTTGGTGAGAAGGTGACAATAGTTGGTGCGATTATTCGCAAATGGAAGAAACACAAAAGAACTGTCAATCTCCCTCGGCCTGGGGCTCCATGCAAGGTCTCACCTCGTGGAGTTGCAATGATCATGAGAACGGTGAGGAATCAGCCCAGAACTACATGGGAGGATCTTGCCAATGATCTCAAGGCAGCTTTGACCATAGTCACCAAGAAAACAATTGGTAACACACTACGCCATGAAGGACTGAAATCCTACAACTCAACTCGCCGTGTTTGGAGGAGGAGGAATGCTACCTATGACCCCAAGAACACCATCCCCACCATCAAACATGGAGGTGGAAACATTATGCTTTGGGGGTGTTTTTCTGCTAAGGGGACAGGACAACTTCACCGCATCAAAGGGATGATGGATGGGGCCATGTACCATCAAATCTTGGGTGAGAACCCCCTTCCCTCAGCCAGGGCATTGCAAATGGGTCGTGGATGGGTATTCCAGCATGACAATGACCCAAAACACACGGCCAAGGCAACAAAGGAGTGGATCAAGAAGAAGCACATTAAGGTCCTGGAGTGGCCTAGCCAGTCTCCGGACCTGAATCCCATAAAGAATCTGTGGAGGGAGGTGAAGGTTCGAGTTGCCAAACGTCAGCCTCGAAACCTTAATGACTTGGAGAAGATCTGCAAAGAGGAGTGGGACAAAATCCCTCCTGAGATGTGTGCAAACCTGGTGGCCAACTACAAGAAATGTCTGACCTCTGTGATTGCCAACAAGGGTTTTGCCACCAAGTACTAAGTCATGTTTTGCAGAGGGGTAAAATACTTTTTCCCTCATTAAAATGCAAATCAATTTATAACATTTTTGACATGCGTTTTTCTGGATTTTGTTGTTGTTATTCTGTCTCTCACTGTTCAAATAAACCTACCATTAAAATTATAGACTGATCATTTCTTTGTCAGTGGGCAAACGTACAAAATCAGCAGGGGATCAAATACTCTTTTCCCTCACTGTATGTCACGAGATGAAGAATATCTCACAATGCCAGCAGAGGGGGGAACTACGTGTGAATGCATTGTCTTGAGTGGGACGTTATAATTACGCAATCCTGGGAAAACAAAGATAGGTGGCAACCCTAGTGGCATGAGGAATCATCTGACCAGGTGGCGCTATGGTAATCAACTCGCCTGTTGAAAGTTGCCAGTGCCAAATCCTGGGTGGAGGGTTGACTCTGCCTCATCTTCTTCGACTGATCACAGTTGACTTTGTGCGAAGTCAACTGTGATCACCCTAGAGATAGACTGGCCCCATCCTATGAAAAGACTGTCAAAGAAACGGAACGCACGCCGAGTCATTGGCAGGAATAACTGAGTGCCCAATGCACGCGTTTCTCGGAGAAATGCCAGCGAATCACCTCGCTATACTGGAAGCCACTGAACATCAGCCGCCTCACCTAACCACGAAACTGTTAACAACCGTTGACTTTGAATCTCCATGAACAAGAATAAGACTTGCCCCCACCCAGGGAATGTGACCTCAAAAAGTAGACGATTCCGTGAAAAAAAAAAACAGGACGGATGACAAGTGAGCCCGCGGTGGCGCGTGGGAAGAGTGCACCTGATCCACAAAGCTGATGGCATCCTGGATGTTGAGTCGGTGATAAACGTCCCAGATCTCGCTCTTGTTTCGCCGGGCGGACTGCCGCATCAGCAGGCGGCTCAGGTGCCGCTTGTCAAACTGCTCAAACCTACGGTGGCAGCAGCAGCGGCAATGGCAATGGCAATGGAAAAAAAAACCGTGCAAGCACCACCATCACGACCAGAATGAGCAGTGGCAGAAATATGCCGGTGTACGACGCTGATTCCATACCGGCACTTCTCACAACACCCAAGCGCCTGCAGTGTACGGGCACTCTGCAGAATTGTTCCTTTCCCAACGCGACGATGATTCCACAGAGGAGGCATGGCAGTGAACGTGGGTTGCAGGATGAATAGGTTTCATTACAGCGACTTCGAAATTGCCATCCCGGAGCGCTGGGCAAGATTGTATACAAAATATTACACTGTGTCCATTAAGTCGCCATCCATTATTACAGCCTCCGTAACGTAAGCAAAGATTTTTCATGAGACAATACAGTCATGTATTTAAGCAGAAGACAAATTATACGCGTTAAAATAACCATTATCCATTATTGAAGAATGATGTGTAGACAGCAGAGGTGGTGTGGTGGTTAGAGACCTCCGATTAGCATGGTTGGCTACGTATGGTGCAAAATAAGTTCAACATTCATACATACAGCACCTGGCTGTGGCTAACATTAGTGGTTATATTTTGATTTAAAGCTTTCGTGACTGCAGTAATTCATATTATTAGCTCTTTCGGTAAAGTCACGTTGAAGGGAAACAATAAAATAATAATATATATAAAACAATAAAAATTCTCACGACGTTTCGACCATAACACAAACGGTCATCATCAGGTGTGAAAACCAACGGCAAGAAATAAACTGCCAAATCGCTGCCCGTGGTGCTAACGTTTTTGTAAATAAATACAAACACCCTTTGAAAATAAATAAATAAATGGGGACCGCCACTTCTTTCAAATGTTTCTTGCCGTTGGTTTTCACACCTGATGATGACCGTTTGTGTTATGGTCGAAACGTCGTAAGAATTTTTATTGTTTTATATATATTATTTTATTGTTTCCCTTCAACGTGACTTTACCGAAAGAGCTAAGAATATTAGTGGTTATATTTGAACACATACTGGGTAGGATGAATACTTTGTTTGAGAAGTGTCATTCCTCTAGCGGCTCTAGCCCTTCACACGTCCGCCATGGTATTGTTGATGCACATCTTCTTGAGATTTAAGAGTCCCAGGCGATTATTAATATCTGGGTGCGATGATAAAGAATGCTTCAGCTGAGTGCCGTTGAAGATCACTCAAAGCTTTTGAAATAACAACAAACTTGAGTATGGTACATAAGGAATATGTTGTCAACATTTCAACCATACTGTCTAATTATAATACCGCCATGATATATGACACCATTACACGCATACTGTATACATTACAGTATGTAATGTATACAGTATACCCTGCAGCCAATCTCCCAGTGCTCCACTGGGGTCCACTTTACTCCAGTGGCCAGGGTGCTGCTACGGGGTCCACTTTCTGCCCCGCCTCCTCCCCTCCCCCCTACTGCCGAGGCCTACTATATAACCTCGTGCCACGGCAGATCTCTCGTCTACTTCAGCAGTTTGTTCTTGCTGTGGTTGTCCCTCCTGATGACGATTGCTAGTGTTGCGATCGAAACGTCGTGATCTGTTATTTTCCTACCTACGTGACTTTGCCGGAAGAACCAAAGAGTATGTATACATTACCCAAGTGTTAATTTCTCACCGTAATCATCTTACTTTAAACCCACTATTTTGTCCTCTGGGTGTGTTTGCCCCCCCCCCCCCCCCATCGTCATAGGGATGTATAATTTCCACCACTGGCTCAGGCCTGTAAAGAGGAGATTAGCACCACCTCGATGATCATTTGATCAGGAAGTCACTTTGACTTAATTTTCGTTCACTACCGATCCAGCCAGTCGCTGCTATGGTCTGTGCGCTACACTTACCATTGGTTGGGAGCAAAGTTCATATCTCGATCGGGGGTCGACTCAGCCGATAATCCATCTGGAGTCAATAAAACCGCCTCCACTTTATGGTATTGAACAGTAGTCATCATGGATTAAAAAAAAACTGGTCCAGAATTTGCTGTTTGAGCAAGGAGGCACATTCATTTAATTTTGGATGTATCTTATTTGTATTCTTCGGCTTGTGCGGCGCCGCTGATAGTACAACATCTGTTGCCCATCGCTAGTTGTGCTGAGAACGTGATACTGGGCCTTCTCCATGAACTCCTGCAGTCCATCAAAGCCGTTTGTGGCAGGGAGTTCCAGGAATCTGACCCAGCGACGGTGAAGGAGCGGGTTGGTAGATCGCACAAATGCTGTGAAACTGCCTTCCCGTGGGCGTTGAGGTGCCATACCCTGGCTCGCCAGGAAAAGGTGGTACAGCAAGTGCACTAGTCGCCATCTGTTTCTCTCTGTACGGGGATAGAGTGTTGCCCCCTCGCACCCATGGGTTTTCTCCAGTTGCTCCGGTTTCCTTCCACTTGTATAATAAACACTCATTCATTGACCAAAGACATTTTAAATTAAAAAAAACACAATGTAGAGAAGAACCCTCTTGAAAACAGTCTAATGACTCAGTGTGGCTTTCCTGGATAAATAAGTAAAACATTTAACTTTAATTATTAGTATAAACGTCCGGGTGTACCGCTGGTAGTGCAGTCACTTCACAGTCACGTGCTGCTGTAATCCATCTCCCCTTTTTTGTTGATCCCTTGTGTGTGCTCCCAATGCCTCAAAGACCTTTTTCATCACCAGTTTGTTCATCAGCTATCATTCACTGGGTCCACCCTAAGCTGCATCCACTGCACAAACCATGACAGATGCGGATACCTGATGCACAAATGGAAAGTTACAAAAACTCTCCAGTGTGCGACTGTGGTCATCCAGAACAGACCGCACAAGGTATAACGACCCAAAGCCCAATCCACAAATACGAAGGAGACATCGCAGCGATGATGATGCACCACTCCACTGCTCCTGACGCGGTTGTCTCGCTTGACCACCTGGATGTAAAATGATAGTTGTTGCTCTGCACCTACATCAGCCGTACGAAAGAGGAAGAAGATTCACTGGGTTTCCAGAAAGAAGCAGCACTAATAAATCAACTCACCTGATTCTAAATGTGCTCTAGTTTTATTCTGAGCCGAGTAGCCTCCTATTGTGCAAAACGGAACACTGCTTCTCTTTGACGGACACTATTAGCATTGTGCAATGTTATTATTCCATCTTTTTTTTCAGAACAGCCCCCGAAATGTCTGTAATTGGATGGAATCTGTCATGTGCAGCTTACAGTATTCTGACTGAAAAATGTGTTCACTGCATCCCAAATGCATTAACTTTATGAAACATAAACGATACCACAGTATGCATTTTTTACCACTGTTCACAAGTAGGATACTTTTCTTTTAGCTGCAAGGACATGTGCATTTCCTATCTATTCTATCAACTTTCCAAAAAAAACTTGCCCTTCATATTAATGCCACTTATTTACATACAAAAGCAATTTGGAAACAGATTAATTGCATCTGGTGTGGTGTATACAGATTAATTTCCATCATAGGAATACCAAATGGTGTTCTGTGAGAACATTAGATTGTTTATTAATGTAATCAAACACCTTTACGTCGTGAACATTGGTTCGAATTTATATCTGCATGTGCTCCATTCCAGTAAAGTACTTTAATTATCAGTTCACTAGTGCCCACGTGTGAATAGAACGAAGATCATAGCTCCATGATGTAAGAGGTCAAAAACACGCAGATTGTTGTGTATTCCTGTGCATTGATTTGTATCATTATTCCATGAAACGATCGTGGTGGAAAATATTAATAAATAAAACAACGTGAGACAATGCAGCAAATAGATTTACGTAAAAACCCACAAGGCACACAAATAACACTCCCTGCCATCTCGAAACAACCAGTGCAAAGAAAACAAGAGAATCTCAGCGTATTTTCTCTGACCAATGTTCCAGTTTGTACACACAGAAGTGACCGAGTTGTTTCCCCAAAAACATTTGTTCTACTTAGTGTGTGGGTGCAACAAGTCCACTCTGCAGAAGATTGCACAATGCCATGATTTGATAATTGTCCAACCATTGAAACTGCTGACCTATCTATCATAAGCTAATTAAGATATATACGTGGATCTGATAAATGCAAGCACGGAGCTTTGTTGTGCGGTGTGAGTGCTGAGCATGTGCATGCACACCATGAAACTTTACTCAAGGCTTTTGTCCAAAAACAAAAAGGTAAAAATGCGTTCAGTAATTCCACACACAAACAGGGCTCTGACCCAGCATGTGACGGCGTTCAATAGGAAAACCAGAGTTTGTAAATAAACAGCAACAATTGATTAGCACAAAAAAATTAAAATCACTATGATTATTCAAGCTTGATGTGATTCAAGCACAAATATATAACAAATAAATGATACTGTAAACAATTTGTTTTTATTTTACCAGACAATGCCCACTGAGCTATAGAGCTCTTTTTCAGAAGCGACCCGTCCACAACTGCCAGCTCAACAACGTGGCTTATCACGTGGTCATTTACAGCAGACACATACTCTAAACAACAACTCTGTGGTTGTTAGGAACAAATTCCACAACCGTGTTTCCTCACCCGAAGTATAGCAACATCTTGAAGTGCAAAGGATACGTGAATCAGGATTTCGCAATTCTATCAAATGCATCGAAGCCCCGCGTGAGAAGGGTGGCGTTGCTTTTACTCACTTGTCCCTCCAGTAGTGATGCCCGTACTCTCCGGCCACATCCTCGATGGCCGCGAGAATGTGGTCAAATGCCTACATCAAAAGAAACCAGAGTGGAAACGTAAAAAAACAACAACTCCCAATTACTTCGCTGCATTTGCACAGAAAAACAAGACAAAGGATGTCATAGAGAGATGTACAAATACATCAATATTGCTGTTTGATGTTGAACAGGACCCCATCGTATATTTGGAATGCTCTTGCCAATAATATCTGGTTACCCAGCGGCGTTTGTCTCACAAGCCTGGCTCTGCCGACGAGACTCTGAACCTATTCAGAGTTTGCTTGCTGAAAAAAATACGCTGCTGGATAATGTTGGTCTGGAAAGAATATAGGGTGCAATATTAACACATTTAATTTTATTTATACGTGAAGACAGAGCAGAGTTCTGCTTATATATTTTCATAAGTTAATCGACTGATATCGATTACAATGTTCGCATCAGCCACGTAAAACTGTGCTTGCAAGAATCAATTCCTCTACTTCAATCGGTTCACGGCACACGCTACTTCCACTAAAGGCGGCTACATTCACTAGGATGGCACGAGACAAAAGTAAAGAATAGATTTTCTTTGAACAATTCGATGACTCGCAAAGGAAGGGTGGGAACTTAAATTAAAGGTTTACATTTTTAGGCGAGTCAAGGCTCAAACTTGTCCTATTCGAAAATGACACTACAAATTATGCAATTAGGATCACAAACACAGTCGCAATAATAGCTCCCTACTGGCAGATTCATTCCCCCCCAGAGGTCGCTCTTGCATATGTGACTATCCTGGCCTATTGAATTCTCACCTGGATAAACAAATGAACTAAATATAATTTAGTGGAGGCCAATAACAATCCCATGTTTGAGGCCGGGTTGACTTTGCATGGACGTACGTACGTTGAACTTCTTTCGCACCATACGTACGCAGCCCACCATGCCGATCGGAGGTGCGGGGGAAGGACAACAAACTAAACACACGAAAAAAACTTGTGGGAAGTCCAGCAATGGGCCAGGTAAAAGTGATAACTGATGTATATGGCAAGAAAAGCTTTGTCTTTGTATATTTCCTGTAAGCTAAAGGTCAGCGTGCAGCTCTGCTGTTATTTAAACCCATACTGCTGGTGAAGAGTCTATATTAGAGAGGGCCCGAGAGAGCACCTCTGGAAGGTATTCGGCCTACTCTTCCATCCTGACCAGATATCACGGAGGAGCGGGGAGTACCCACAATTTACCTCACCACACGCGAGCTGGCAGGTCGACAGAGTTACCGCGAAGATTCAATCTCCCGTGCCGAGAGGTCGAAACGAACCACCGACCTCGGTGTTGCAAGTCCGGTGTGCGAACCATTACACCACGTATTGACATTTGTTATATAAGAACTGAAAATACCACGTCTCTTTTTTGGCAATCATTAAAAGCACTTGCCCCAGAAGTCTGCACAGCTCAATAGGAGCTCTTTGTCCATGAGTCTATGTGTAAGTGTGTGTGTGTGCGAGTTGTGGGGAGCGGCAGTGCAGCGGTTAGAGCGCTGAGCGAGGAAACCGGCAATCCGAGTTAAATTCCCGCTCACGGTCAACAGCGGTGGCAATCATCTGAATTGGGTCAAGGGCCTCTCCTAGGTCGACCCAGCCTTTAATGAGTACCTGCATGCGATGTGTAAACATCGCCACTTGCAACACAAAGGCGTCCGGGCCAGGCGCTGGCCACTCAGCCCTCTGTTATGCCGTGCCGGCCTTCATAGGTGCTGCTCGCTAACAGCACTTGCCCCACAAGTCAGTTCAGGTTACACGGGGGATCTTTTGTCTTTGTGTTTGGGCAAGGTACTCTCTCGTGCAGCTCCTCGGTCAGCGTCGGCTCTCGCTCCTCGCTCCTCTTCACCTTCAGCCACTTGACGAGCGGCTTGATGGTCAGACCCTGCAGACACGGGCCGCACTGGATAAAGACCCGCCGCTCACTTTTCGACGATTATTCATAGCCTACAGCCCATTGTTAACCGACCGCTGGATGTAGGTCTCGCCACGCTGACCATGCTTCACCGTGCTGGTCATCACGCTGTACTGACCAGCAAGGTGAAGTATGGTCATGCTGTTCGTATGACCATACTTCACTACGCCGGTCAATGCATGATAGCCAGGCAAGGAAAACGAAAACAGATTGCCGGTTTGATGTAGTGCGCTAACCACTGCACCACATCTCCCACTACATTATAAGAATAATTTTTTCCCCTTTTTTCCGGCAACAAAACTGAAACCTTTTTTTTTACAAGGAATCATGTCTGCATTAACCACAGTACTTGTGGTCAGAATGCAAACATTGTCAATAATAAAATGCATTACCAATGCAAACAACTGCAATGTGCAAGTGAATAAGATGTTCGGTGCAGTTGTGGACTTTTGTGATACGATTCGGATAAGGTTAAGCAATAAACGTTATTTTTTTAATGAGAACTACATTCTCAGTGTTCAAAATTGCATTAGCAGATATGAAACATTTACGCCCTTTAAAAAAAGTGTCACGCGGAACTTTTATGGATTGTATTTTGAAATGTGCTATCCACTACCTGTTAACAAATGCACGTATATACAGTACATGTACAAGTCACCAGTTGACATTTCAAATACTACTAGAGGACTACTTAGCAGTTCAAGTGTTACATCACAATAAGTGTGTGCAGTACACTGGGGGGAATGAAAAAAATAACACACATTTACCAGATCTCTGTACTGGGTCTCACCAGTTTAACTATATCATACAGGGGTGCTTCAAAAAGATGTTAACACTTACATGGAAAAATAACGGATAATACACTGTAACATGATAACAAATTTCATGTTAATAGCTTAAAAAAAGTCAAAGAGTCTCCACTTGTTCGCCATCATTGCCAACACGTGCCTGGAATCTTCCCCAGGTGGTCTCCAGAACCCGAAGGCAGCACATCTCACGTGGTATTGTTGCAAATTCTCAAAAGTGTTAACAAAAAAATTGATGAAGCACCCTGTATTATACCTCGTACAATCTTTCTAAATGCGTTTGTGTTTTTTTTTGTTTCTTTTACAAGAAGCATCAGCTTTCATCCGCTGCGATTGGAAGTGTTGTTTAAAAAAAAACCCGTCCCTGACAAGTAGACCCGTTAAATGACGAACGCTTGCGTTGCTTAGCTTCTGCGGTATTTAAAAGGCAAACAGCAGCAACCAGCGCAACTGTTGGAGAAGGTGGGGGAGTCAAGTGCGGCGTTTCATGAGAATGAAGGTAAAGATAAAAGTGCAGGGGTGACGGCGAGGCTCCGTTGCACCACCACTGAAGCCTTCCACTTTCCACTGATATTTTTCCATCTCCTCCGCACTGCCCAAAGAAAGATATCAATAGGTGCCATCGTGGATATTTGTGGGTAATAGTTTAATGACAAGGATGTACTCTTGTCGCAAAAAAAAACAAAATCCTTGCAAAAGCATTTTAGAAGACAAGTCTTGAAAAATGTGGTACGCAAAATGTTAGTTCATCGAATTGTCTTGATATCAATTCGTATGTCAAAAGAATAACACAACACATGTGATTTGAAATATTGTTCCATGACTACTTGTACATTTTTCTGTGATAAAAAAACAAAGTACAACTTTACCGGTAGTGACAGGGCACATTTTTTTATTTGGTAAGTCATTGCGTTTGTGCATTGCGCGATGTTCGGAAGTAGCACATGATTGCGATACGTGCACTGAATCCGTCCACACTCTGCCGGTGAGACATGGAAGAGGCGAAACCGGTACAGAGTTTATTTGCTTAAACCATCTTATAGCAAAAACACAACACCAAATTCTCCCCCTTCTTTAAACCCTGGAAGTCGCGAGATGTTAACTACCTCGCCCGGTATACAGGAGGTCGTCGAACCTGGCGCCTCTTGTAGATTTCGAGTTTGCACGTCTGTCTCTCTCCCTTGTGGCCGTGTGGATTTTTCTCTGGGTCCTACGGATTTTCCCCTCCACATTTATAATCAATGTGCGTTTAGAGTATAAGCCGACTTGCTTGAGCTATCATTTGTGGCCAGGTTGCTTCCAAAAAAAGAGCCACATAGCTTAGTGGGCCTTACCTGGTAAAATAAACAAAATTTTTGTTTTAGTTTGCACGGGGCTCGTGTTGAATTATAATTTAAAAAACTATTTAAGGAACGAAACAAGAGGATTTATCCACAAATCTGGCTGTCGCCTGATGAAGCTAGTTGTAATTAAATGTTGTGGCTTTGCTCTCCAACACACCGGTGTGCTGTACTAGTAACGAATTGGCCACGTTCTGTTCACGTGACAACCCTTACCAATTGGCCGTGTCGGGTGGTGGCGGGTTTAACGACGCATTTATATATATCTACGCGATCTAACCCAAAAAACCTCCGTGATGGATGAAATCTGTCCCGAAAGCCAACTACGTGTTCAAATGAAACTGGGCCCCTTGCCTGCACGATGACGGTGAAGAAGACGACGATGATGGTGGCGCTGACAAAGAGGCGCTTCTCGGGCACGTGGCCCTCGTCGAGGAGCGCCACGAGCGCGAAGGCGACGGCGCCGCGGAGGCCGCCGTACGACATCACCGCCTGCTCGATGGGGCCCAGGGGCACCATGCGGAAGCGGTTGAGCAGCCAGGTAAGCGCCACCACACCTGTGCGGCGGCCCGGGCAGACGCAACGACGGCAAACGACGACGATTGGCGGCAGCGGCGGCCGTTCGCCGCTCGCTGGTGGTGGTGGTGGTGGCAAGAGGGCCACGGGGACAGACCCAGGTGGCATGGGGTCGCTGCCCCAGGTGACTGGCGGACGCGCCGCCCGTGATCCCCGCGGCGAAAACTTGCCGCGTTTTAGCCGCCGGCGCTCCGCTCTCGTGGCGAGCACAAATGTAGCATCCGCGTGTCATGGCCGTGATCGTTTGCACTGGATGCATGTAGTCGATTTTTCACTTGCACAATTGCACGCAACGTTTTTGTTAACTTGAGGATTTTACTTTCAAACATGACCGGATGAATCCATGCGTGCTCAATTCGGGCCATCATTAGTACAACATAAATCCAATAATTCGTGTTGATATGGGGGGGAGCATATCATGAATCTTGTAATCACAGCGCACCGCGAAGATTAGTTCTATATGTGGAAACATTTTCACTCTGATGCGGCACGCAGTGGATTATGGAATAAAGAGCCACACGATTGCATTAATCCGCAAAAAATGTGCGGATTACCGGGTAAGAACTGTACGTGACTAGCGGGTAAATTAATCCGTGATAAATTCACGGATTACAAGGTTAGGAGTTTTCCTCAGATCCAAATGGGGCAAATCTGCCAATTGGGTTGACGTTAAAGGATTTTTGTGTAGAAAATAAAATTATATCAAAATTTAAACATGCAAAAAAATCCTACTCAACAAATCATGCCGGCACGGTGAATTCTGTGCGAGATAAAAAAAAAATAATAACTAAAATTTCCTCCGCATTTCCCTGCAGCTCCGCTCTGCAGCTCTGCGTTTGCACCGCTCACTTCTACGGATCGTGGCTTGCGATGCGCCAATTCGTTTTTAATCCGCCGCGATGTGCCTCCGATCACAAGGATTCACGATTATTGCATCACATATTGGCGGATTTGGCCTGCACGAGTGTAAAGATTCAAACGTGTCAAAATTCAATAATGTTAAAATCTATACATATCGAGGAACGTCCCGATGATCATTTCATGGAGCAGTACTTTTAGAGAATTAGTCACGTAGAACATAATTAACAGATATATTCCTCCTGCCGTACAGCAGCAGTCATAGACCCTCATAGGCAAACAAGAGCCTGCAGGAAAACTGTCAAATGTTCGCAGAGGGAATATCTCACTGAAGCACAGAGACCTTATTGCATTGCTCGGTTTGCAGAGCCCCAAACTAAACGCGGGAGGAAGCGTTGACCTTTGAAGTTTATGACTTCACCGTTTTCAAGGGCAAGCTACCAGCAATATGCGGAAACCGCATCGCGACGGAACACAGAGAGGCGTCTGGGAAGCAGACACGTTGAAAAACACCACGGGAGAGGGGGGGGGGTGGTAGGGCTTTTTATGTCTCTCACCTGCTGCACAAATGGGAGTGTAACAAGCAGCGCACTTGAAAGTGTCATTGTGCTAAAAAAAAGTGCACAGTTCAAGGCTGACATTTCAGTTGTTTTCCACCTCCCAGAATGCACCAGTGGGTTTTGAAAGTGGTTACTTAATAAATATCAGCCCGATTGTGCGGCGAGCACAACCACGACATGCACAACTGAGGTTATTAATTTCAAATGTGAAAATAAAACCAAAGAAACCAATTATATAATGTTGGTGAGCGGTGAACATGGTATTCTGCCATGAGATGGGCAAACAAAAATACGATAACCCGAACTGAGGAAAGTAATATGTATTGCACGTGTTTGTTATAACTGTAATTTAATGATAATGCACAGGCCTTTGTTAATCCACTGCTGGATGAAGCCCTCCCATGCTACGTCGGTCATGGGGGGTTGTCTGAGCATGCTTCACAGTGGCTTAGCGATCGAGTGCACGAGGCCTTATTGCATTGACCGTGCTAGGGCCCATGATCAAGAGGGTCTCAGGTAGAAGGCGACGAATTGGGTAAAACAAAAAAATGGACACGTGGCACCACTGAGTTCCATGGTCCATGGCCCACATCAACGACACTGCACCACCGACCCCCAATGGCACGCTATAGTGACGGATGCATCATGCGGTGGATGAACAAAGGGCTGACTTTGTATTCATCACTGGGCAGCAGCCACGCCGCGTGACGAGCCGCACCTGTGGGACTAGTACAGACTGGCCCCAGACGTGAACGACCTCGTGAACCCCTATCAATTATCAGAGACAAGGAATCAAGTCACAGAGAACTTCACTGAGTCTGAATTGGAATGAGGCTGTGGACTTCACACCAATGCATTTGAGAACAATTAAAGAAGAAACACGTGACAGGTGTTTTTTTATTTGATTTATGTTATATTCACACGTTCTCTCACCAGATGTAAACACACAAAATTAAAATCATGCATAGCAAGCCACCACAATAAGCGAGGCACTGCTTGTGAAAAGAATGGAAATGTGGCACTTATTGAGTACGCGAGCTCAAAGGAACTTGTGTACACAATGCATAGAAGTTGTGTGAATGTGCACAGCAGCGTCAGCACAACTGTGACACGGGCTTCCAATTGGCAGTGAGAGGCCTTGCCGAGGCACTGCCGATTCCAGCACCAACACTGGAACATTGTCAGAAGAACAAAAAACATCGTAAAAATTATTCCCTATAATAAATATTTGTTGCAAAGTAATATAAAAGGAATACATTTAAAAACACACAAACACCAATATTGATTGCACCCGATTACGAATGTAGCACGCACACCCGAACTTGCTGATTTGAAATGAGCCGGAATGCATGCGATTTCTTGAGATCTCGGAGGCGACTGTTGTGCTGAACTACGCTCCAATGTCTATGCCGCCTGCCTTCGCCTATTGAAATGTGGAAGAAGTTGCATGTGATAATTGTTTTTTACCTTTTTTTCTGGCAACAAAACTGACACCTTTTTTTACAAGGAGTCATGTTTACATTGACCACAATACCTGCGGTTGGAAAGCAAACAAAAAACAACAACTCTGATAATGTATGTGGCACTGTCCTTGAAATTGATTGGTCCACACCCGAGACAGCTTTCTTTAGAGCCTCGTCTCAAATGGTGTTGGACCAGAAGACGCCAAAAGGCGCACAACTCAAAGACAATGCACCATCAGAGTATGAGAGCTCGGGTTAAGAATTTACACCATTGGAAACCTCATTTGCCAGTAACAAAATATGATAATTGTTTTTTTACCCTTTTATCTGGCAACAAAACTGACACCTTTTTGACAAGTTGCATGTGGTCAAATAACCTCCACAACCAGCACAGCAACAGGAGGCCCTTATCCAGCAGTAGATTGGCAAAAAGGTCTGTACATACACGTACACACAAACGGACCCAACTTATTATCGAAGTAGGTTAGGAAGCTAATTTTGGATTTATCGGATATGTATGACTAAAGATGCACAGGCATAACGTCACCCGGTCCCATGCACAAACCCCTCCCCAAAGATACATGACAAATCTGTTGTATGACTTTGAACTGGTCTTGGATCACACACAAACAGAGCAGTTAGTCATACTCAGGGTCAATAATAATTGGTTTTATTTGCCCACGAGAGGCCCCACCGTGCCGTATGACTCTGTCTAAGGAGGGTCCTGCATTGGGTTTTTAGTTGAAGATGTTTTCATACAATTAATCATGAGTGTTCATTATACACGTGAGAGGAAACCGGAGCAGCCAGAGAAAACACACGCGTGTGAGGGGGCAACGCTCTATCCCCATACAGATGGAAATAGATGGCGATTAGTCCACTTGCTGTGCTGCCGTCTCCTGACAAGCCAGGGTATGGCACCTCTTCAACGCCGACGGAAAAGGAGTTTCACGGCATATGTGCGATCCACCAACACTCGCATCCACAGTGCCGGATTATACACCACGTGTGTAACCACCACAGCCCAGCCATAACCGGAATCATCTGGTCAATGGGCACTTTTTTTCGTCGTAAATTTTGAGCCAGTTCGCATTGCCTCTTTCATCATAAGCTTTCAAACGCCACCCACACATTTCGCTGACATTGCTGCTGAGGTCTCGGAGTTTTCCAGACAAAAAAAACACGCATGCACGCACACATACAGATTAGCTGTTTATATAATAGATTAATATCTCAATTTAACATCCAACAGTGATATAAAGGTGCCCCCGGGACACGCCTGCATCATCATCACTCACACATCTCTCTCATGCATCTCTCTCTCGTTATCAAAAGATTTGCTCTGCAACCATCAGAATGGAGATTGTTTGTCACCATGGACACTTGTGCAATCCGAGGTGAGGAACATTTCGTTATTCACCGTATTTCACTACGGTTGCTGAGCACAGCCCTAAACGCCCCAAACGCCCAGCAGCCAGCCACAAACAGTACTCTACCGTTGAAGGTCTAATAGTTAGTACGCTTCTTGAATTGAGCAACATTGTAAGATGTTCTTTGGGTATTTCGGTAAAGTCACGGAGATAGGTTCAAAGAAAATAACAAAAAAAACTACGACGTTTCGATCGCAACACAAGAGTTCGTCATCATTCTGATGACCCAAAGAATATGAATTCCTGCAGTCACGAATGCTTTAAGTCAAGATTTAACATTGTACGAGCTTGGGAAAAGAGGCCATGGGAATTGCAACGTTGAGCGGTGTGAGGGAAGAAGCAGAAGTGTTGAGACATGCAGTGTGGTGGGTGGGTGGGTGGGCGAGTGAGTGAGTCGATGAATGAGTGGGTGAGCGCGTGGGTGAATGAGTGGGCAGGTTAGCGGGCTAGTGGGTTAGTGAGTGAGTTGAACACGTAGGCTTCTGCGACCAACATTATTATCATAATGGAGGTTTTTGGGTTAGATCGCGTAAATATGAATGTGTTCGTGAAAACCCCCCACCAACAGCGAAACAGGAGGCTTTCTCCACAAATCTGGCTGTGGCCTGATGATGCGAGTTGTAATTACTGGCGAAACGTCGTACTCGAATTTTTCACGGGAACACTAACC